GTGCGTGCGTTGTACGTTGCCAGGGCCAAGGTCGTTTGACGGGAGATTTTTGCCGCCCGGGGATTCTTCGCACCCCCGGTCCTGGCGCCGAGTCGGCGTCCGTCAGCGCCGCCACGGACTCCAGCACCGCCGGGCACTTGGGGCCTCTTATTATGTACTATCATTTTTTAGGGGGGGTTTTGGGCCGTCTCCCACCACGCTGGCCCAGTGCGGGTTGGTGGGGAGCGCCAGAGCCTCGTCCGTTGGTCGGCAGGGTACACCGCGGGCAGGTGAGGTTGGCTTGGGTGCCGTTGGGTGTTAGGCGGCACCCCTTATACCCCTTATAAGTAGTAAATATAATTATTATATAGTAGTAAATATAATTATGTATAATATATTATATTAGCTAAATATAGTAATACATAATATAATATAGTTTTGTAAAATTTTAATACTATGCCCTAAGATTACCGATTCTATAAATTTTAGGACTAAGTGCTCGTCACTAAAATGAGAATAAAGATCAGTAATTATAATGCGATTCAACTAAGAATAGGACCGACTGGGCGCCATATTGTGACGTCAGAGCTGTCAATTCAAACCAAATAAGTAGAGTGAGCAAAAAAAAGTTTTTATTTAATAAAATTTATTTAAACTAAGATTATGTGAGAAAAAAAAACTGATTTTTTTAATTAAATTTATTAACTAAGATTGAAAAAAAAACAAACGATTTTTAATAATATTTATTTATCAAGACGCCTTCCGAAGCACGGAGGAACTCGAGATGGAAGATTTTTGGTCACCTATCCAATGACCGACCAATGCGAAAGTTGCTTAACTTCAACGATCGCAGCTGAACGCACTAACCACCTGCGCTATCGGGCTCCTCCGCTCCGCGGGACTTTTCTGACGCTGATAGTGATGAAGAGATTCAGTTTATCCAAAACTTTTTATCTGAATCACTTAGGGACATGGAATCTTCATTATTGCCGCCAAGGCGTCAGTGTTCGTCTCCTGTCAACGATGATATTCATGCTATGGATACCGAAAATCGTCAACCAGAAATGTCAGACCCTCAGCCTAGTACTTCAGGTATAACTTCAGGATCAACTGCAGGTACCGTTACACAATCACGGGCACCGAGACGATCATCATCTCAGAACAGTAAAGACTTGGCTAATAGAACCAGAGCTCCTGGCTCCGTATCTGTCACCAAAAGGAGAAGGAAGATTCAAATATCGTAGGACGTTTAGCTAGGTGCATTCCTAAGAATCAAAATTACAGATTATTCTTTGATAATTATTACACATCTCCAGAACTGATTGCTTATTTGGCCAAAGAAGGAATTCAATCACTGGGAACTGTCAATAAAGGTCGTCTAGGAAATGATCTCAAAATACCTACCCTAAAGGATCTAAAAAAAGACAAGGTTCAGAGAGGCTATTCAGAAGAATGGGTGACAAATTATGACAACACAGAAATCGTCACCGTTATGTGGTACGATAACAAACCAGTAGTTTTATCATCGTCTTTTGTGGGTCAAGAGCCAATACAAACAGTAAAAAGATACTGCAAGAAACAGAAAAAGTAAATTGAAATAAATTGTCCCCAAATTATCAAAACATACAACCAGCATATGGGCGGTGTGGACCTCCTAGATTCGTTCCTAGGGAAATATAAAATAAAAATTAGGACAATAAAATGGGACTTGATCAATAGCTGGTTACTGTACAGTGTACTGAGTGACTGAGTTGGGGAGCAGACCCATACGCCAACCTCCCTAAAACAGAAAGATTTCAAATTTGAAGTAGGGAAAAGTTTATGCATGTGTGGGCGATCCATGAACAAAAAGAGAGGTAGAGGTCCGGCCAGAATAAATTAATAAAAAAAAAAAAAAAAGAGAGGTAGACCGTCCTCTTTGTCTGATGAAATTGAAAATAAAAGAAAAAAGCCTAATACAGCGATCTTACCTCCTCGTGATGTGAGACGCGTTGGGTTTGAGCATTTTCCTATTTGGGGTGAAAAAAGACAACGATGCAAATATCCTGGTTGCAAGGGATAAACCTTCATATCTTGTGAAAAATGTCGAGTAGAACTTTGCCTAAATAAAGAGAACAATTGTTTCAGAAATTTTCATCAATAGGTATTTTTTAACTATTTATAATCAGTTATTTCATTTTGTGGTTTATTTTATTTTTTAGATTCAAAAAAGAAACGGTTTCTGAAATAATTCAAATGTTCTAGTTCATAACTAAAAAGTATAGTAAAGGCTCAGTGTACCATATATGGAACTGAAATAAAAAAATGATTTTCCAGTAAAATAAGCATTTTTTTTTATTTTTCCCTAACTACTAGCCACTAATGACATCATATATATTTTTGTCACCCATAAAAAAAAATTGAGCCTTCTAGGGTTAACATATTCTGTTCATTTCTCCTAATGACGAGGACTAGACGATGGACTGGAAGGTGGCTGATGGTCCCTGGACTATGCCTACCAGTAAATAAACTCGTTCTGTGTTTTGTTATAAACTTAAAAGAGAAAAATAATAGTTTAAAAAACTCTGTTTACTTCATTAGGTCTGTAGGGTAAAGCCATGTTTAGTATGCTATAAGAATAATCTACTGTGGCTGCCGATGTTTTCAAATATAGCATTTTGCGGATGTGATGAGCTGTTAGCTATGTCCAGCAAGAATGCAGTATGGACCGTTAATGTTAGTACTACAAGGTTTGTTTCTTTTTTACTAGGGCGGGATGATAAGTAACTAGCCTAATAAGAGAACACCTAACTATCCCTAATAAAATTAATTTTTTTTCGATATAGTCTCCGTGAACCTCTACGCACTTATTCCATCTTCGTTCTAAAGCAGTGCCTTCCATAAAATGATTTCTTTCGAGGCCTGCATAATACTCCTCTACAGCGGCTATGACTTCATTATTTGTGGCAAATTTTTGTCCGCCCAAAAATTTTTTGAGCTTAGGGAATAAGTGGAAGTCTGATGGCACTAGATTAGGCGAATAAGGTGGATGGGGCAGCAAATCATACATCAATTCGTTGATTTTTGCCATAGCTTTAACACATGTGTGAACCCTAGCGTTGTCTTGATGGAACATGTTTTTTTTTCGCCAAACCTGGTCGTTTTTGCTGAATACATTGATGAAGATTATTTAGAAGATTAGCGTAATATTCTCCATTAATTATTTGACCTTTAGGAAAGGAAAGTAATCTATCATCAAGATCCCATGTGCATCCCAAAATACGGAAGCCATCACTTTTCCAGACGACTTTACAGACATGACTTTTTTTGGAGCCGGGCATCCCGATTGAGTCCACTGTTTTGATTGAATTTTTGATTCTGGCGTGTAATGATGAACCCATGTTTCATCTGTTGTCGGAAAAGAAATCGGAATTATGACTCAGAAAACGGTCCAGACATTCCTTTGAGTTTGCACCCGAAACTTTTTTTGATCGTGCGTAAGCAGCTATCGCGGCACCCAACGGGCCGATAACTTTTTCATATTTAATTCCTCACTTAGGATATTATGATGTACCCGTTCTTTTGAGATACCTGTTAGCTATTTCAGATAACTCCAATCGTCGATCTGTTAAAACCATATCATGTACTTTCACGACCATTTCCGGAGTCGTGACGCTTTTTGGACGTCCGGGGCGTGCAATAACAGTTGACGAAATATATTTTCAAATGACAAAAAATTAAATAAAATTTTCGCGCCACCTAAATTCAAATTTCGATCACAGGTGGCCACAGGTACGAATTTAAAATAGACATATACGTTTTTTAAATTTTAACTTTATAAATAGCAGAAGCTAGTTACTTATCATCCCGCGCTCTTAGATGAGTCTTATGAACAAGTTTCTCACATATATTTTTTTTCCATTGGAATTCCAAACTGCTTGGATACCTATAATTATTATTATGCGTGTTGCTTTTAGGAACTTATACGTTAATATACATTATTTATGTTATGTATAAACGTTTGTGTTCTGATGATTTTGATCATATATTGTTTTTGTTTGTTTATTAAGCCAGTGTTTTTCATTCTTTTAAGACAATTATAAAATATTAAAAAACACTGCATAAACATGTCAGAAAAAAACCCGACTGCTTAAATATTACTTCAAACAAGTCCAGTAGTCTATAATTCTGTTAAGTAAGGAACAAAGCTACTTTAACAAACGGGATATTTTTTCAATAATGGGTCCCGACTGTTAAAGTTCCTTTCAGTGTTGCCAACTCTACGTCTTTTTACGTAGATCTACGTATTTGAGGCCTTTTCTGGAAACCTACTAACTTCAGTCCCAGAATCTACGTATTTTCTTATTTTTTTCAAATTTGTAAAATAACGTAATTCACTAGAATAAAAACTATACAAATGTCTATTTCTTATAAAGATGTATCTTAACGCTCTTGTATCTTGTAGAAAAGGATTCCGTTATTGGTTTTGTTGACTAAATTAATGCTGGACGCAGTATTTGTGAAAGCAGAAACGACAAAACTCTTTGACTTAGTAGGTACATTCATAACCTTAAAAATTGTATTTTTAAACTTTAAATATTATCAATGAGTACCTACTCACATCGAATTGATCTTTGCAAAAAGAAATGATTTTCAGTCGATAAAGTTACAGGATTTAGCAAGTTTTAAAACATAATTCCAAAAAGTATCAACTAGCCCATTTAACAACAGTTTATCCTTGTCATTCTCTATACAGAATGAAAAGGAGAGATTGATGTTAAATTTAGTTTTAAATTTAGAGAACCATCTAGAATCGACACCCACCAGTGTCTGTATCTGATGGTTAATGTCTACAAAGTTTTACTAGAAAAAAAATCCACGCATTCTTCAATCTCGCAATCTTCATTTCACTCAGAAAAAAGTACGTAGATCTACGTACTTTTCATATGCAAAATTTACCAATTCTACGTAATTTTCTCATCGGGCCTACGCCTTTTCCAAAATCCGTGTTGGCAACACTGGTTCCTTTGTTCCTTACTTAACAGAATTATAGACTACAGGACTTGTTTTTTTCTTTTCAGTTTTAATTTGAAGTAATATTTAAGCAGTCGGGTTTTTTGATTTTTTGAATTAACCTTTTTTATTTAACACTTTTTAGTTAAGATTATAAGACGGTATATACTGCAGTCTTTCCACTTCAATAAGGGAGTTAATATCAAGCGGAGTATTAAGTACCTTGCGGTAGTCTAAACGACACCCTACCATCAGGGTCAAGGCCTTATGGGCCTCAATATTCGCAAAAATGTGTAAATTTAAATCAATTCCTTATCCGTATATCTAATGAATGTAAATTATATACTTAACTAGTATACGGGATTCAGGGTGATGTTGATTTGTAAGTAGGTGGTGTAGAAATAAAGATTATTAATTAATTTATTTTTATTTTCAATATTCTATTTTGGATCATTTTAATATTTGCCACTAAAACGCAAACGTAGCGTAATTTCGGATTTGACAGTGGTGTCGATTCCGGCGCGACTTTCTAAAGGCAAAATTAAATTTGACAACAGTTTCCAATCCTTGTCATTTGCTATAAAGAATGAAAAGGAGAGACTGATGTTACATTTATTTTTAGGCCTGAATAAGCACCGTTCTTACAAAAATCAGGATCATGTAAAAAAGGTGCGAGAAAATATTGAAAATACTAATTGCAATATTAATTTTAAAAAAGACTATTATTTATATTTTTCATCAACTTCATATTTAAAGTAAAAATGGTTGCCTGTAAAGTCGGTTTTACGGGCGAAGATTTTACGTGACAACGTCTTTTTCTCGGTAGAATATTTATTGATATGAATATAATTAAATTGCACAATAGGAACAAGGAATTGAATGAAAATAAGAATTGCACAAATTTTAACTATAGAAATATATTTTGTTTACTAAAACATTGTACATGTAAACTTAAACTTAACACGAGAGACTCATCGTAACGTTACCGAGCGTTACACTTTTTCATAAGTGACTCCCAGCCGCAACCTAATTTAAGACGTTGTCACGTCAAAAATCGCACTCGTACGCTAAAAAACACTAAAAACAAACCAGCTGCTGGCCGGGTTTCGAATTGCGAAGAAAACGGTGCGATTATATGCTCTCTTCTTATTTTTGCACTAAATTCAATAATGGACAATAAAACTTTGCCAAAGGTGGGTTAATTTAATAATTTGGAAATTCATAGAGAAACCATTTTTTAGGTATCCAATAAAAATGTAAGGTATTTAAATACATATTAGGTTTTTTAAAACAAATCACATATTTTCTGTTTTTTAAAATTCATCAATATCATAATGTAGTACGGGAACTGTTGCCACTATAACAGGTATATCTTCGGACAATGTCGCAAGGTGAAATGGCAATTTTAATTGTACCTGAAAAATAAAAAGGGTAAATATGTAAGTACTAACTTTTATTGCAAAATCCTAAGTCCATGTAGTACCTAGATACTTAAAGCTATCCCGTAAATGTGACAGGCTTGGTACGGAGTGAGGTGTACTTTGGACCATTTGATAGCGTGGAATTCGTTGTGCCCTTGTGGGTGAAAACAATTCGATTCTTGTAACATGGTGCCACTGTAGCGGTTCTTACAAGACACGTTAATCTTTAGTGCCATGTCTTGTACGTCCCGCTGATACACAAACTTTTTAGTAAGAATCATAGATTTGCATCGTTAGATATGCCCTTACCAAAGTTTGACCGCTCTGAAAGCTGACAGCACTTAAATAGGCTAAGTCCCATATCTTCATGGCTTCTCTAATCAGTGTTCATCTGAACATAGTGACAGTTTGACTTTGGTGATTAAAATACCGCACTAACATTTCGAGAAATACAAATAAAGCTAATGGTGTAACATTTCACTAGTAAGTTTTTATATTTCATTATTTATTAAATTTATTTTCTTTCGTTGTCATAATTGGTAAATATCAACTTTCTTTATTCTTTAAATATGAGGTTGTCCATTTTCAACTCCATGTCGAATTTCCCGAGCGAATGTGTCTGAATGTCAATTTTGACTACCTCATAGTTAAAGAATAAAGAAAGTTGATTCTTACTAAAAAGTTTGTATATCAGGGGGACATACAAGACATGGTACTAAAGATTAACTTGTATAAACCGCTACACCACCAAAGGTGCCACCCTATGCCACCTGCCATTTACGCCCTCTCGGTCGGAATCGGTCTCATAAAACCGCCCTCAGTGTCGCCGGCACTTCCTGCCGGCCTATTCGCTAACTAAATAAATATTTCCAACACTCACACCACTTAGCTTAGCCCCAAAGTAAGCACTGTAGGCTTGTGCTATGGGATACTAAGGTAACGGATAGAATACATATATAAGTATATTTGTATAGAAATACATGATTGGAATACGAATTCTCGTATTCATCACACAAACATCTGCCCCCACTGGGATTCGAACCCGGGACCTCGAGAAGGGGACACCTTGAAACCCAGCGTACATACCACTCGGCCACGGAGGTCGTCACCTGGTCGAGGTAGTCGTAACTATTTTGTCATTTACAGTGTTTATCTAAACTATAGAGACAATTGCATATTTATCGATGCTATTCAGAACAAGTATCTTAGTGGCGTTATAATAAAGCAATAGTGGATCACTAAATAAGTAGCTCGTTGATTGTCACTTCCATCTGTCAAAAGCAGTTAGCGAATAGGCCTACTGGGCTGCGCCGTCTTAAGAGGAGTGTGCCTTGCTGCAGCCCAGAAGGCGCTTTGGAAGCTCGATACATTTATAGACTCGGAAGCATGGTGATTTGTGTATCCACACTATTCCACACCAACGATATTAAGGCCCGTATTACAGAATGACAACTAAGTGTTGATCTTGGGTGTATTCCGAATCAAACACCAGTACGCTGGCCAGTGGTAATGACGTCATGATTTCGACGCCATATTGACAACACTACTACTACACCAGTGCAATATGGCGTCGAAATCATGACGTCATTACCGCTGGCCAGCGTACTGGTTTATATTTCGGAATATACCCTTTTACTTGAGTACAGTTAGAAAGGGATGTCGCTATGTGCTATATCTACCGACATCCCTTTCTAACTATGCTCAAGACTAGATCAATCACTAAGAATCTTTCTATAATACGGGCCTAAATATCGTTGATTCACACGGATAACGAAAGGCACTTTTCCCGCCCGCCTTACACGAGGGACGACAAATTTGTCCAGCTAAGTCGAGCATGTTAAGGTGCGCTTTAGGGTGCGAGTTTACAAGCTGCTAGCCAACTCTTGGCTTATAGCTTATAAACTCGCCCCGTGTCATCGAGGCTTAAGAGCCCATTCACATTTTTTTCAAAAAATTTTAAATTTTGAGCGCCTGGTTTACCCCTTTAGAAAAGATTTTGACTATTTCAAAGAAAAGCAGCAAACAGTAGATTTATTCTTCCTATTGTCAGTTAATGTAGAATATTTGCAAATACTATTTTCCTTTTTTTGTACTGATCGTTCTACTGAAGCTAGTTTACGGAAAAAACGATAATATGCACAACTTGTAACGCCTCAATCTCTCAATAATGTTCAATAAATTAGATCAAATTAATTACTACGACATCAGAAACATGTTTTTGTTGTAACATAATGTATTAGAATTTTGATTAGCCATCTCATTAATTATCAAAAATAAACATCTAACCTCCGTGATTTTGGATCAGGTATACCTCGTATTTTGATATTGAATTATATAGAATTACTATCAAAAACTTTCATAAAACTAATCTGCCATCATTGAACTACTGAAATATGTATATATTTTAAAAATTAGTTCATTAATAATTATTTTATAAGACTCGAAACATCATCCGTGAAATGCAATATACCTATACTAGTGCAAATCTACCTACGCGCCGATCCACTTCGTTAGTCCGTTACGGATAAAAATAGTAATAATATATACATACCCTTAGAACATACGAAATGCCAATCATAGGGTCCTGTGTGTATATGCTAGAAGGGATCAGGTGTGGTATGTTTAAATTAAGACTACACGTCTCTTTTTCCAGGTTTTGGAAATCTTTTTTGCTTATTTTACAAACAATTTTTTCCTCGTCAGCATGGCCTTGCGTCATAGTATATTTTAATTTCTGGAATTTAAAAAGAATCTTTAAAATATTTAGTGTAGCACTAAATTATAATGTTATATAAAACAAATTCGTAGGTGAAGTACCCTATTTTTTGTCGCAAATATGAATCTTGATGTAGGCCAGTAAGGAAGTCAAGAACACTTATCTACGTAAGCCAGAATAAGTAATTAAGGTAGGGTCTAGTGTACCTTGTAACGCAAAACTTTTAATATCGTAATTTTATATATCAGCGGATGGTATAAACTTCATTTCGCAGAAAATATTTAACATTCATTCATATAGCCAACATTCAAACGCATATTTTGTAAGCTAGAATCATTATTAGGCATTTTAGCATCGACAATAATTAAAAAGCAGAAACATCATATCGCAGAAAGTTTACAGTCAAAGTACGCAGAATAAAATTTTGGAAAGGTATTTATGCTTAATAAAATTCTGCCATCTTAAAAGAGTGAACCCATTTAGGTAACTATTATTTATTATAAACTAGCGGCAGCCCGTGACTTTGTGTTAACTTTAGTTGTTTGAGAATTCCACAGGAACTTAAAATTTTTCAGGGATCCGTTCAGCCGATTTTGCGTGTATGAATAACGAACAACAAACTGCCTCGTTTATAATATTAGTAAGATAAGGTATAGAAGGATATTAGGATAATATAAACATAGTTCACCTGAACTAAGAAAGCACTAAGTTTGTATAATTTAATTTTCCTTTTATTTGTTATGGTCACTTCAATAGGCACGCTTTGATTGGAAGAAAATGCTGTGTATGTTTTGACAAGACATGAAATTGGTCCATTGTTCCAAAATATTTTATTTATCTCATGACACGACGGTTCCTGTCGATAAAAATATTTTGTATTAATCTTATGTAAATTACATTTTTACTTATTCCCTTCTGACTAAGTACTTATTAGCACAAAGAACAACACTCACCAAATATTTTTCAATATGATTAAGATTAACATTTCCTAAAACGACGAATGGTTGGGTCTTATTAAATTTAAAAGATCCTGTGCACTTAATTTTTATACTATACTCAACTTTTGCAATAGAGCTTTCGAAAGATGACGGCAAATCTTGTGGTAACGCGAAACAAAATGGATATTCATATTCACCAGCCTCCACTGGTTTACCTGAAATAAAAAAGCAAAGCATTATAAGTATTAAAAGTGTTTCATTTATACTTATCATTTCTGTAATAAAAAAAAACGAGCGTGCCTTACAGTAGTCGCGTATGATGTGTAACATTTGAAACCTCACCTTATATTAGTAGAAAAAGAAATAAAACCTACTACGTAAGGAATAAGCCATTTGAACATTATGTTCTTGAATCAAATCAAATAGCGCGCGCTTTCGCGACTTCCTGTAACACACTTCAATCTCACAAATTGCAGGAAAGTGAGAGGAAAGATGTTACACATCAATAAACTGTCTCTCTTTTACTGTTCATGAGATACAGCTCGCTTGCATACAGACAGATGGACGAACGGTGACCGCCAAAGCGGCGGCAGCTTATTAATATTTAATAAGCTAATTCGTTGTCACTCTTTGAATCTAAAATCTAACGGGTACTTGTAATACCATTAACCTAATGCCAAGGAAGAGCGCAAACAAACTAATCTTGGTCATTTACTAGGTATGTATTTGTGTGGTATTATAAGCTCAAGTTACGTTAAGAGCACTAAACTAAATCGTAAAAAAGAAGAAATAAAAAAAGGAATGATATTTATTGTTGTTTCTTTTTCGGTTATCACTACCATATTCTGCATTATTTTTCGGCATACTTGAAAAATGTTTTTGTTATTAAAAGTTTAGTCTAGTTGTGTTTATGCAAAAGACAAAGCACACTAAATTATGAGAGTCCATACAAATTTTCAGCTCACTTGATATCTCTTGGTAAGTATTTAGATTCCAACGGGTACCAGTAGTCCAATGCGCGAATCATTTCGAAGTCAACAAATGAACTCAAAACCTCCATAATAGGATTTTAATAAGCTTTTTGTGTACTTTTTTTTAAATGTCTGTGGCTTTTTCCCTTTCTCTCTCATATTTAGATTTATACGTTTGTCAAAACGTTCATAAAGAAGTCCTCACTTCATAAAAAATATAAATGAAAAAAAAACCAGAACTGTACTAATAAATAATACCAACCTACCATGCGTTTAATACCTAACTATTCAGGTATTTTAATATACCGAGAAAACTTAAATTAGGTATTATTAAACAATGTTCCTAAAATTAATAATAGCCCTAGTAAAAAAATATCGTACGGGGTCAGGATTGAACCAACGATATTGTGATATCGACCCTAAGATCGACTTCATTCGGCTATTCGTCTCTTAAGATGCGATACAAAATTATAGATACCTACCTACTAACCATGTATCAAATACTCTACTTCGGTATAGTATTTCAGTTTCATCGAATCTCAAGTCACAACTATACTAAAGAAGTTTTCACTTTAAAAGTAGGTACTTGCCTTTTATGTTACCAAAAAGGTCGATATCAATGTGAAGCACTTTCTTCTTTTGCGAATAAAACTTTATATGCGGTATCGTTGGGCTGGGTCTTGTCCAACTGGCCTTACTGGTGCCACAAACTACAAAATCTATCCCTAGAATTGAAAAACATGTTTTTCCTGTAAACATTTTCATTAGCAAAACAAATATAAAATCTTGATTAAAAACATTTGAAACAAATACTTCACTTTCTATATTTTCTTTGCGTTTGAATTTTAGTATTACTGTACCGGTTACAATATCACCACAATAGAAACTTTCGGTCGAATCGCTGTTCAATTTTACAACACAGTTGTTCTCCCAAGTCATTTTACAGGTATACGATTTTAAAATTTGATTTTTATTTAACATTTGTAAAATCTATGCAGAAATGTTTGTAAATATCTAATTAAATATCTCATATTATTTAGTAGGTACTTTTAAATAGATAATTCAGCAACTCCATATTAGATTATTTGAGATAGCAAAAAGATAACCTAGATATGAAACTCTTATCAGTTATAAATTATATCAGCAGCGAACTTATTAACGGAAAACTGGGGACAATCGGGACCTAAGGGGGAGCTTAGCACAAAAGGGTTTTTGGAATAGTTAACCTAAACTGTTGTAACCAAAATTTACTTTTCGTGCTAAAATATACGTAATGTTCTATTCAGCGGGTCTACACCAGATCATCCATCGCGCTCCGATCGCACGCGGCAGGCGCGCGATCCGAATGTGCAGGGCGGCGGTGTGGACGTGCCGAGCGCGATCCATACGTTCGTATTGAAACTCGCACCCCTGCTGCGTTCGATCCGTACAATGTCGGGTTTTTGAAAGCCTCAAAAAGGTGCCTCAGTTGGGTGGCGCGTGCGGTGTGTACGATTCTGTGTGGTTCGCGCGATCCACCACCCATGAACATTTCGCAAAGTCGCCGTCTAATATCACTTTATAAGGAATTTAAATGTTTATGGGACCCAAAAGATGCGGAAGAGATACTGCAAACCAGCGTTGCCCGACATCCCGATTTTGGCGGGCCGTCCCGATTTTTAAAACAAAATTAAATGACCCGCGCGGGATAGGCTCAATCCAGCTTTGCGGGAATAACTCGACCAACTATATAACGATAGGGTAAATCTGATTTAAAATATCATATTTTTATTAAAATACATTTTCTATACATATTTTTAGTAGGTCACGTAAACGTAATTTGAACTCAAATAAAAAGATATATATATAAAAACTTTTGATGAAATAAGTACGTTGTTTTACTATGTCCCGCTTTCGACGAAAGAATCCCGCTTTTTTCACTCAAAAAGTTCCTAAATCCTGACTTGGCAAAAAGAAAAAACTGGCAACGCTGCTGCAAACTGACGTACGAATCTCCAGTTGCTAAAAATCGCAATGTTAGTAGTATATTTCCTTCACAGTAATGGTATCTCTATAAATTGTATCATTCTTTCTTAGCTTGTTATTCAATAATGAACGCAATATCAATATCTCAAATTTATTAACATTCATTCTTGCAAAATTGTGTTCAACTTTATCTGACACTAACTCTGCGTAAAGCTGACACCCATATTCCAAGCGGTTATTGTTTAAAGGTTTTTACCCAGAACCGTAAACAATGATCCTGAATTTCTGCATCCAGTGGGTCCCCCCGACTCGTTTGATATCGTCAATCCACCTCAGGGCTTACCGACACTGCGTTTCCCGGTGCGAGGTCGCCATTGAAGCACCTTAGGACCCCAACGTCCATCGCAGAATTAATGTGCCCTGCCCATTGCCACATTCAGCATGGCGATCCGTTTAGATATGTCGGTTACTCGATTTCTTCTACGGATTTCCTCATTTCTGATTCGATCACATAGAGAAACACCGAGCACAGTTCCTTCATCGCCCGTTGTGCGACTCCTAGCCTTCTTATGAGGCCCATTGTCAGTGACCACGTCTCAGCTCCGTATGTCATCACCGGTAACACGTACTGTTCGAAGACATTAGTCTTCAGGCACTGAGGTGTTCCGGATGAGAAGACATCGCCAAGTTTCCTGAACGCTGCCCAACCGAGTTCGATTCGACAGTTTACTAGGTTTATCTCTTTCTCGAAATTGGACTGACCCAAGTTAACTGCTTGTCCTACATATATATGTATTTACGCAGCGGTAAATAGCTTTGGGGATATAACTCGCTGTAGTTGGATAGGTCTTGTAGTCTGGTATTATATGCGTACTATCATGGTGGCGCTTTCGTACAAACTCTTTAGCAATTGGATGTAGCGATAGTCTCTAGTCCTCAGCAAAGATCTCAACACAGCCCATGTCTCCACCGGATCCTGTGCCATGCCTCTGGCGTTATGCCTTCGTGGATAACGGAACTGAACAATCGCTGAAAGATTTTACGTACTGGTTTTACGCCTGCTTTCAGGACTTCTGCTGTAATTCCGTCATTCCCTGGCACCTTGTTGTTCTTTAGTTGTTTGAGAGCCTTAATAATCTCGTATAGGCTGACGTCCGTCCGCGATATCTTTGGTATAATGTCAAGTTAATTTGGCTCTGTGATCTTTAGCCAAATCAGCAACAGGTTTTTGTGTTGAGGTGTAAAACTGTCCATAGAAGTTCTTGACTTCCCTCAAATCTCAGGTTTCGAGATGATAAGACTACCGTTTTCAGTCTTCAGCCGCGTAAGCTGACTTGTTCGATATACAGATCTCTCGCGAAAACTTTTGTGCCCCTGTTGTTCTTGATGGTATCGTTAATCCTTTCGGTATTAAATAACCTAAGGTCGCTTCTTGAAGAAAGTTCATCATAAAGAGTCTCCTTCTCCATGAAGTAAACCAACATTTGGCCCCTTTGGTTTCACTGTCCTTAATCAAAATTGCCCACTCTCAACTCGAAACCGTCTCGCTCGCCCAGCTCTGCGTTAAAGTCCGCCATCACAACACTGTATTTGTGATCGCGGTATGTATGTATGGCTTTGGTTATTATCCTCATACGTAGTCGGTGCGTAAACCTGTATGACCTTGAACGATAACCGTACGCTACATTGCTCCCGACACACTCCCGATTTCAATAACGCTGTTAACGAGGGACTTGTGGACGATGAAGCCGACAGCGACACCACCTTGGGACTGATACTGGCCCTCCCGGTAGTATAATAAATGGCCGGAATGAAGGGTTATCGAGTCCTCTCCCTCTCTACTGACATGCGGCATAATGCTTAACGTTGAATGTTTCAACTACAGCAACCCTTCGCACAATCGAGCACTCTCAAAAGTAATGCTTTCGTGTGATGCGTGCAATCGTACCAACTCAGTGACAGAAAATTAACAAGTGTTTTTTCTTTAAGTTGGCATTGATCGAAATGTTTTATTTATATGTTATCGTTAGTAATATTATTTATTGTTGAAAAATTATTAAAGTTTTCGTTTCATTATAGTTTTTTTTTAAATAATCATAGTTAATTCAAAACTGTGTTAAAAAAATAAATATAAGTATGGATGAAGGTACAAACATTGACTTTTTTTTCAACACTGAACTTAGCGCACTCTGCTGGTGCATTTGAAAACTAATTCACGTTCCAATTAAGCATCAGCATAATAAAATTCGGCATTTTGCGCCACAGAGTCGCATTATGCTCTGTAATTGGAAAACAATCAAAGACTGATTGTTGTCAATTTCAAAAACAGCGTATACGAATAGCCAAGTGAAGGGTTGGAATCATTCAAAACAGCAACGCAAATTCATACTCAAGATCGCTCTTAGAGTTAAGAGCGATTTATTAATGTCTCCCTATAACTTTCAAAAAATAATGATGACATATTTTTTTTTAGTTTGCAAACCCTGCCTAAGTGTTAGTTAATGTTTGGCATCCATAAAATAAAAATTAGGTTCATCTTATTAGAAAGAGGTAAGAGACCTACCTCCGTTATTTATCTTTCGCTTGGCCTGTCTTAGGGTACGGCCAGAGTGCACTCAGATTCAGATTCAGATTCCGAAAACAAGCGCGAGAAATAAACAGTGTAGTTAAAGCAGGGTGGCCATAGTGGCAGCGGGCTCGCGCAGGTTTCGGAGTCAGACACTTTACCGGAATGTTTAGGTCATTCAGATTCTGAATTCACCAGCGCCGCTCGGACTGCAGGTAGGGTTGCCAACCCTCATATAAAATATAGTATCCTCCTATAATAGGGGATCAAATACTATATACTATATTTCTATCTATCTATCTATATTTCTAAAAAATACGTAGTAGGCGAAATTACTAAATTTTGCTTAAAGCATATTTTTAACAGTAAAAGCTTTCTTAAAAAATATTAGAGATTGTTATTATAATATTAGTAAGGCAACAAAAATATATTTATTTCAAAAATAAAGTAAATATTATAACCACATACTGGTGTCGATTCTGGCACGATTCTTTAAATCTAAACTTAAATTTGACAACAGTGCATCCTTTCCATTCTCTATACAGAATGAAAAGGAGAGACTGATGTTAATTCTTCATCATGTGAGGTTAATTTTTTTTTAAATGTAGTAGTTAAAACGTTTTCACTTCCATCTTAAAATATTGGAAGAAACGTTTCCTATTGACTTTTAATTAGGGAAACAAATGATGGTATTCCCCATATTCACCGATCGATCTTCATTAGAAAACTCCTCCAAGTTTACAACTGCGAAAACACCCCCCAATTTAAGTTTCTGGATCAACAACAACAACGCGTCGAATGAGAAAGAGAGATTGTTGAATGACTGTCGATTGCGACTTTTTACAGATTAAAAGTTTATGATGTGATTTTATTTTTATATAAAAATGTAAAAAAGAAAACTCCCGTTTCCCCCAAAACAAAATTTCTTCCCCCGATAATCCCCCCATCGATCGCTTTAAAAAACCCCCAAATTTGGAGTAACCTCCCTCAACCTGGCAACAGTGCTCGCGTCCGCGTCTTGTATTATCTGCCTCCATTGTGGCCATCACCTGCTTTCCTCAAGCTGACATCTCACGAGCCTGCTTTCTGACTCTGAATCTGAATCTGAATCTGAGTGCACTCTGGCCGTACCCTATGCAGGTTGCCTGCTTTTTCTCGCGCTTTGTTTTCTGAGTCTGAATCTGAATCTGAATCAGGAGTGCACTTTGGCCGTACCCTTCGACTACACTGTTTATTTCTCGCGCTTGTTTTCGGAATCTGAATCTGAATCTGAGTGCACTCTGGCCGCACCCTTAGAGGACAAAGTACTCACTACAATATATCCATTTTTTTGTTCTGTGGCTGTTTCCGTTTCACACAGAAATTTCGCCAATATCCCGTAGTGAGAGAGCATTAAATCCATGGCTAGGTGATTGTCATTGTCAATGTCATTGTGACATTTCAGATCGATGATACTTCAAGACGTCAAGCAAAGTTGGATTTTTTAATCGGTCTGTCGGTGTTTTTCTGCTGCTTTCGTGATGTTGATTTCTACGATGAAAAGGTCAAATCTGTTTATTTAATGTGATTATTAAGTAAAATGGAGATTTGAAACTTAAAATAGGTGAATTGTATATAGTTTTCGACCTATTTCATGCTGTCATTCCTACGCAGTTGCGGATAGGTTAAATCCTCATCCGTCATAAAAATATAAAAGTGAGTTTTTCACCGCAAGTATGTTTAATTTGTTTCCTTTTAATTTCAAATATTCAAATTAAATTTAAGGTTTTTATGATACACTATTATATTTTTGAGCTTTTCTAGGTATTGTAAAAATAGTTCTTGAAAAGAAACTACACGGTATTATTCGTCACATGAGAATTCCCTGTATTTTCTCATTCGTGTTGAATTTATATAAATCGTCTTTAAATATGTTATATAATATTAATAATATTCCTTAAATTTATGATATGACGCTATATTTTTTTAGAGAAAAAATATTTTAAACTCTTAAATTCTTCCAACAGCCATTGTTGTCAGGAATTTAAATCCACATTATTAATTTTGCTATTAATTTTATCTTATAATGACACCTAATGTACAACTAAACTACTTTACACATGCTTTATAAAAGTGGTGTTAGACATTGCTTTTACTCAACATGACTACTAACATGAAAGTGAAACTAATTCTCTCATTGAATATTATTACATTGTTTTTAATCTACGCTCTGTATTATGTTCAATAGTCTTTCTTGAGCCATATAATTGTCTTTAGCTTTTGTAGTTGTGTAGCAGGTATTACATCATCACAGTTTTCTATAAGAATGAGATGATTCTGGTTAGCCTGTTCATTTTCACACTGGTGTGATATAGTGAATATAAGTTTGCTAACAATTACTGATTCAGCTGTTATCACCAAATAATAAGACTTTTGTGGAAGAGATTGAGATGGTGTTTTTTTACCTGTCCATCTGATACTAATAAAGGAAAAGTAATAACTTGATACGCTACTTTTTCATTTGCTTACCTTATGAGATAATTAAATAAAGTAATTAGATGCAAATATGGATGATCTATAGGTATGAATGATACCTATAGATCATTCATTTTTGCATATATTGCTGATAAATAAATGGTTATTTTAGTATCAGATAATTAAAGATGGATCCAAACATCTATGCCTTGGTCCTTGACACTCTCAACCGGGCCACAAGTCAGGATACGGAAGTATTGAAGCCAGCGGAGAAGAAACTTCAAGAATGGGAAATTGAACCAGGCTTTTATTCAGTTTTACTGGTACTGAAGCTTTTACTTAATTAAAAATAACAAATCTGGTTTAGAAATTTGATTTTTACTTAACAAAAACTAATCAAGTAGTAGATCAATATACTTGATTTTTCAATGAGATACATATTATTATTGCAACAATAATAAGAATAAGTTCTGTGTAATATTTGTATAGAAACAAATCACAGAATTTAGATCATATTGTATCGATTGGTTGATCTAACTGTTAAATATGCAATTTAGCAACAATGTAATAATATATATTCTAATTTTTTATTATTTCTCTTTAGGATATCTTATCAAACCACTCAATTGATATAAACGTAAGATGGCTAACAGTCATGTGTTTCAAGAACGGTGTTGACCGTTATTGGAGAAGAAATGCTCCCAATGCTATCACAGATGAAGAGAAACAAAAATTAAGACAGGGCCTGCTTACCACAAACATTCTGAGTGAACCTGTGACACAGATAGCCACACAACAAGCTGTGTTAATATCTAAAATAGCCAGGTAAATAGTTTTAAAGCTTGATTTTCAAAAGTATGGAGTTTTAAGATACATATAATATTGAATAATTTGTATATCTATACTTCTATACTAATATTATAAAGAGGAAACGTTTGTATGTAAGTATGTTTGTAACAATTGGCTCAAAAAGTAATGGACCGATTTAAAAAAATCTTTTACCATTTGAATGCTACATAATCACTGATTAATATAGGCTATAGTATATTTTCAAAAAAGTTAGGGTTCTGTATGAAAACTTCGATAATGTAACCCAAGGTGTGTAAAAATACCTTAAAATAGCTTTATATCGCATACACTGTGGAAGGCATTGACAATAGAGCAAAGTGATGTATTAAAGTTTTATAGAGGATACCAATATCTACAAAAAAGTCTGCGATACCATATGTCTAACTATTAGAGTTATGTCATAACTAGAGTCCCCTGCGGTTTCACCTGCGTTACTTTGAAGAAAAAGGTTTATAGTGAGTCAAACTTAAAATACAGACATAGGCTGTCGTGGGCTTTTATACAGAACTTTCAAAGGGAAAGAATTCCGTCATATATGATTTTTGTGTAACCTTATCTGTTTACCCAGTGCAGTCAACGGAATTTCACAAATGGAATATTTTTACCCTTTTTGCAACATTTTTCATTGATGCTCCGCTGCTACTGGTCGTAGCCTGGTAATATATAGCCTATAGCCTTCCTCGCTAAAAGCACTGTCCAATACAAAAAGAATTTTTCAAATTGGAATAGCAGAGCAATGTTGCATTTGGGACAATGGGTCCTAAACTACGCAACGAATTTTTTACTTGGAATTGAAGGTTTATAATTATTATGAAGAAGGTCATTGTGTATAATACAAGCCTTTGAAGAAAAACTATAGTCTACACTACAGCTCTACACCGAAGCAAAGCGAGGGCGGGCCACTAATATTTTATAATTTGATTATAATTTGACTTAGTTTTTATTGTTATCTACTTATCTGTATACTTACTTTTACTTTTCCTAACAAGAAGCATTGTAACTTTATATAGTAATTCAATAAATGTACTTTTTTTAAGGCTCGATTGTCCTGCCAACTGGCCTAACTTAGTGCCTGACCTCATTGGAGCACTAAAAGCGCCACAACCCCTAGTGCAGCACAGATCTCTGCTGATATTTCATCACTTAGTCAAAGCTTTGGCTTCTAAGCGTCTGATTGGTGACCGAAGAGTATTTCAGGTAACTGAATGAAAACAAGACTTTTCGTATCTAAAGCACTAAAAATTTTAACAGAAAAAAAACCACTGGCTAAGCGGCAGAATCGCGGCGATATTATCTTCGTGCCACAAATTTAAAACCGCGTATCCACTAGAGGCAGCCTCGCGTCGAGCGGCCTCGACTTAAAGCAAATAGCCTCAGTTTGAGGCTGCTCGCTCTGAGGCAACGGCTACGGATCAGCTCGAGGCGTGTCGTCTCAGCTTGATCCGCCGGTGGCGCACTGCGCAGTAAAAAGCCAAAACGTCTCCATTAAACACACGGCTCGGACTGTGGCGCCTTTGAGCACGGCACAGAAACCGACAAAATATGGCTCGGCTCGCGGCGACGAATTTGCCTCGCGTCGCGGCGTGCCTCAGGTTGAGGCAGCGTCTCCACTTGCGCAGCCTCGGAGTGAGGCAGCCGCTCGAGCCGAGGCTGCCTCTAGTGAATACGCGGCTTAATACTTTCTCGTTGAAAGTGTCTCTCCACGGCTACCACTCTTGCAGTGGTTGAGTTAGTTAGAAAACGCCATCGTCGCCACTCTTTGCGCAGGCTATTCCCATAGTGTGGCGTAAATTAAATATCTCTATGTTTAATCAATGTGAACTGGAATTTTTATGAATAAGTTCGTCACATATTTGTTTCTCAGGTTTTCAAGCACATCACTCATTTAATAAAACTAGTTTTTTAACGGCTTAATGCGCGAAACTTTATTTATTTATTGACGTTTCGCAGCCTTTACATTAATTCCGACGAAGCAGCCTGTAAAACTTAAATAAAACTAGTTTTTTAACCCGTTAAAAAACTAGTTTTATTTAAGTTTGTCACATTTAAATTATGATTCCATGCCCAAAGAAACATAGTAACGTGATAATTGTTAACTTTTTAGGAACTAACCCATTCAGTATTCGCTTTCATACTGAACTTATGGCACGAGAACACAGAATTGTTTCTGAGGCACATTCAAGAAGGAGCGGCCACCGAGTTGATCACTGAACACCTGGAGAAGGCCTTACTTTGCCTTAGGATATTGAGGAAGCTCGTAGTTTTCGGCTTTAAGAAGGCACACGAGAGTCAGGACGCTGTTGCATTCCTGAATGTGGTCTTTGACAGGGCTAAGACAAGTTTAGAGTGCAGTAAGTAAGCGTGCATATAATCTTGAATGTTTGTTTTGACAGGTCTTTAATATAAAATTTTTGTAATAAGTAGATGTAGCATAAAGCTGAATTCATAACAACAATTTTGCTAACTGTTTCATAGTAACAATTACACAGTGTTGCACAGTTCCGTTTTGTACAGAAAAAAGGACAATATATTTTCTTAGCTCCGCTTTTGAATCACTGATACGTAACTCATATTTGCGATAATTAATCGGAGTTATTACCAAATATTCACAACATCATTTAAATAAGAAATAAACCCGCATAGTCAATCCACAAGCAATAACATTTGACATTTCGGAGACCTCACGCTACACAAGCTCCTCTAGCGGCGGATTCATACACGATAGCCCTCATTGAGGTGGAATGAGGTTTTTACTCAATATTATTGGAGAATCAATGAATTATTAAACTTATTATTATTTTAATAGGTTTGAAATTTTATTTGAGAATATTGTAACATTCCAAGTCACTGTATAACATTATTGTAGGGCAAAGTGGGGCACAGTGTAACATAAGAAATATCCCTATATTATACCAGGCCATTTGACGTTTGATGACAGACCATAGACAAGTAAGAAAAGGGCAGAGATATTCCAACTGTGCTCCTTGTTACACTGTACTCGACTTGACCTTATACATATATTAAATGTCGTAGTTGTGAAGTTAAAGCTATATCGAGTTTGTCACTTAAAGAAAGGAGCAAGCTGCAATTTCCAATGTTTTTTTTTACCTTGATATCAAATCTGACATTATGAATTACAGGGAAACTTCTCAAAGGCAGGGGCATTTACCCCTTGGAGCTCTGTGAAAAGTTCATAATCCACCTTACAAAGGTCGCTTTGGGTGTCCTCGGGTTCCACCCCATCTCTTATGTGCCTCTTATAAGGCCATCCCTGGAGTTCGCTCTGTACTACTGTTTCACGGAACAAGGCATGGCGCTAATCTACGAAAGATTCACTATTCAGTGCTTGAATATTGTGAAAGGAATTCTGCAGTGCACCGAGTATAAGTTGCCTAAAGGACCTGAGGTTGCAAGGGAGCCATGTGAGTATTTTGTTGGTGTTTGATGTTAAGCTTTTATCACAAACTGTCTCTTTTTAACACCTGGTAATTTTCTTCAGATTTAAAAAACAACCAGGTTAATGTTTACATTAATATTTTCCCTAAGAACTTTCTGCATGGTATTAGAAAACTTTATAAAAGAATAGCAGAAAAGTACTTGTCAAGCTATGTTGTAACAACAAAAAAAAGATTTATCATTATTTATGTATCTCTTCACAGTGACCCTCCAATGCCATCAAGCTAAAATGGATGTTCTGGACCAGAATACGGTATGCCACATGTGTAGGCATCTAGTCACTCACTATTTCCTGCTAAGCGCTGATGATTTAGCGCTTTGGGACGCGGAACCAGAAAGCTTTGCCATCGATGAGGCCGGGGAATCGTGGAAATACAGCCTCAGGGTAAGTTGTTCATCATCATCAGCTTCCTAATGATGTTCTAGGAAGGCCAAAGTGGAAGATCTGCCACTGACCTGGAGCTTAAGGGTGGAATTTTGGATTATGTCGAGCGTGGCAGAATAAGAAGGGGCAACCTTGAACCTTGTGAAGTACATATAGGAAAAAATAAATATTCGAACGCATCATACATTGAGTAAGGATTTTACTTGAACCCTCCAATACCTCCTATTCAAAAGACTGATGTTTTGGACGCGATCAAAAATCATTGCAGTTTGTTGAATTTGTTATGCCGCCCTAGACTTTCGGCCCTAAATACTCCTATTATACCTAACCCCACTAGTCCAAGTGGGCTTAGGTATAGGAGTCCTTCACAAAGTGCAAGGTTTCCCTAGTATGGGTGATGTTAGTTCGGGGGCTGCGGTCCTACTGATGTTGGTTGGGCATTGTATTATGGTTGTCTGCTCCGAATTTTGATAGTGCGATATAGGCTTTCAATACTATTGAATTCGCGTCTGGCGTAGCGCCATCTCTTGAGAAGGCAAGTGATGTCTTTCCTCCATTAAGTTATACTCGTATATGGGGCGTGTAGATGTTTCCGCCACAATAACCCCACAGATGGGGTACAGGCCTCCTTCACGAATGGATTAGGGAGATTGGGTCATGACTAGGGTTACCATCCGTCCGGATTAGTCCAAACATGTCCGGACTTTTAGACTATAGTCCAGTCTTTGTCCGGATCACACCTCTTTTAAAGGATCCCAGGTTGTAAGAGTTTCTATTTAATGATTTTATAGAAAAGTTAGTAATTTTTTTTTTCAGAATCGTAAAATCACTGCTTATATTCATATTCAAAAATAATACTGTCAAAAAGCCTATTGGTTGGGTGACCTAAAACATTATCTATCTCAAGCTCCTCCGTGCTTCAGAAAGCACGTTAAGCCGTTGCTCCCGGCTGTGTCTGCAGTTGTTAGCACCCACCAATCCGCACTGGGCTTGCGTGGTGGGTCACGGCCCAGTCTCCCTATTCCATCCATAGGGATGACCTGTGCCCCTGCAGTGGGTACATTAATAGGCTGATGATCTAGCATCTAGCACCCTAAGTACACAAGCTATGCTTAGTTTGGTGCTGAATGATTGTCAGTGTAAAATGTTTATTTATCATTATTTCTTTTGTAGCCATGCACAGAGGCGTTATTTATGGAGTTGTTACAATTCCGGAACATTCTTGCGCCAGAGCTAGTTCGTCTACTGGCTTCCTTGCAACAACAACCGATATTGCCTGACGACTTGCCCTCCATACTGAAGAAGGACGCCATATATAACGCCGTGAGACTCGCGGCCTTCGATTTGTTCGACGAAGTGAGTATTGTTAGAACTAGTTCGTTTATTAACCTTCTTCGAACAACAACCAAAATTGCTTGAAAACTAACCCTCCATACTAAAGAAGGACGCAATATATAAAACCGTGAGGCTTGCAGCTTTCGACTTGTTTGACGATGAGAATATTGTGAGAACTAGTTCGTTCATTAACCTTCTTAGAACAACAACCAAAATTGCTTGAAAACTAACCCTCCATACTGAAGAATGACGCCATATATAACACCGTGAGGCGGGTAGCATTCGATTTGTTCGACGATGTTAGTATTGTTAGAACTAGTTCTTTAACGACCTTTTTTAGAACAACAACCGATATTGCTTGAAAATTGTCTTGCCCTTCATACTCGAGAAGGATGCCATGTATAACACCGTGAGGCTTGCAGCCTTCGATTCGTTCGACAATGTTAATATTGTTAGCACTAGTTCGCTTACGACCGATTTTTGAACAACAACCCAATTTGTTTGAAAACTTGCCCTTCATACTCAATAAGAGCGCCATGTATAACGCCGTGAGACTTGCAGCCTTCGATTTTTTCGACGATGTGACTGAGTATTGTTAGAACTAGTTCATCCCCTTATATTCTTACGCCGGCACTTCACTTATATATATATATAATTATATATATAATTGAAATTATTGTTACATGACTTGTAACTCAATTAATTTTGCGTTTTAGGTGGACTTTGATGAATGGTTTACGAATGTATTAAGCCAGGAATTGAAAATCAAAGAGAATAACTACAGAATTATTAGAAGGCGTGTCTGTCAGCTGATTGGTACGTGTATATTTTCTTTTTGACAATATATAAATATGTATAAAACAAAGTCTAGCAAATTATCCATATTTCCTGTAATTTAAATCTCACGCGTTTTAGATTTATTTATTAAAGGTCCTGCCTTCATTGTTAACAATAATAATAATTTATTTATTTGTATTACACTAGATAGATATATATGTTATCAGCCTATTAATGTCCCCACTGCTGGGGCACAGGCCTTCCCTATGGATGGAATGCGGATTGGTGGGTGCTAATGACTGCAGATGCAGCCGGGAAAAACAGCTGAACGTGCCTTCCGAAGCACGGAGGAGCTCGAGATAGTAAATTTTTGGTCACCCATCCAAAAAACGACTACAGCAAAAATTGCTTAACTTCAACGTTCGCAGCTGAACGCGCTAACCACTTGCGCCATCATACTCCGCGTTTGATATAATAGGCTACTTGACACTTTAGAAATATGTTTTAAATTTTTCTATTAGACCGAAGAAAATGTACTGTATTTTTATTTACCTAGAAAGCTACAAAACTTGAATTTTAAAATAGTTTTTTCATGGACAAACAAAAACGTTGTCGGCCATTTTAGTCTATACATTATCTATGCTATGCCGTCAACAAAATCGTAAACAAACATTCGAAATCACATATGAAATAACCTGAATCTAAATTTATATATGGTTTTATAACTATGATTTCTAATAGATTTCATGATAAATATAATAATTATCATAATTGTATTATACGAGAATGTAGGTACACATCGCTAAAGACTCCAGAAAAGTTGTGGTTTAAATTGCCTAGATAAATACACATGAACACAGTCATGTTTAAAACTTGCTAAATCCTGTAATTTACCATCTGAAAGTCTTTCCTTTTTGCAAAGATCACTTTAATGTGAGTACTCATTGAATAATATTTAAAATTTATAAATACAATTTTGAAGGTACCTATAAAGGTAGGTATGAATGTACCTATAAAGTCAAAGAGTTTTGTCGTTACTGCTTTTACAAATCCGGCGTCCAGCATTAATTCAGTCAACAAAACCAATAAATGGTTTTTTTCTACAACATGTAAGGGTTTTTAGATATATTTTAGTTCGACGAAAGACACCACAGTAACACGACAATGAAGTTTAGTTGTTTACTAACACATTTACTAATTTTTTGATCGTCACAATCATGGTGGACAGCGTTTTGAGTGTTTAAAAAGCATAGACTAAAAACCATTTTTCAAATTAAATTTCTAATTTTATGAAGTGAAATCGATGTATTTAGGTACCTCATACCAAACATTATAAGAAATTAACATTTGTATACTGCAATTTGACATGTGTCAACTAGCCTATTTGATCGATTTCAATTCGTAGGCCAATGGTGCGGCGTCCGCGCCTCTCAGTCGCTAAGACCGGCGATATACGAAGCGCTATTGGAACCGTTGTCCCGTTCTGACGAAGACGCGGCCGTGAAACTTGCGGCCGCTGAAGCGCTGCGTAGCACGATAGACGACTTCGAGTTCGACGTGGAACAGTTCGCACCGTACGCGCCGCACGCTATCGCAGCGCTTTATGAGCTTTTGGTGAGTGATGCATGTCCTCCATATGGTCTCGTGAACGTTAATATAATATCATATAATAAAATGGTAGGAAAGAGAAAATTGTACATTGAATATTTTTTAAAAGAATAATTGGGGTGTGATCTGTAGATCTATTGTAATGATATCTAATTGATACCGAAGCTAAAAATATAGTTTTTAAAATTTTTGTCTGTTTGTCTGTATGTATGTCCGGGATAAACTCAAAAAGTACTGCATGGATTTACTTCAAATTTGTCACGAATATTATTAAGAAGTCGGGTCAACATAAAGGCTACATATTATCAGGAAATCACCTATGGGGAACGAGCAGTGAACCTTTATTTCTAACTAATTCCACGCGTACGAAGTCACGGGCGGCCGCTAGTTAATAAGAATAATAGCAGCCAACGAGTAACAAGTCACCATCTACCAGGCTAAAATTATTAGATAGACTTTATTGCACATACACAAAAGAATCCAAAAAAATAAACAATAACATAATGTGGGCAAAGGCGGCCTTATGGCTTTAAGCGATCTCTTCCAGATAACCTTTGCGGTAAAGGATTGCTAAACGAAGAAGAAGTTGTAGTATGCCAGCAAGATAAAACAAAGAAATATATATTTTTTTTGAACATATAAAGATTATAAACAAATAACATATACCTAGACAAACATATACACATACATATTATACATTATTATATATTAGGGAAGGCCTGTGCCCCAGCAGTGGGGATATAAAGAGGCTGATGATGATGATGATGATTATATATTTATAGATACAGCAGACTAGGATTTAATTAGGAGAAAATCATGAAGAATATTTAAAAAAAATGTCAATTTAATTAACTTGACGGATCTCAGGCGAAAGCTTGTTCCAAAGTAATGCAGCTTTAATCGTAAAGGAGAAATTATTAAATAAAAAATTTAAATTTAAGGAACTAAGAGATCCTGTGAATCTCTCAGTTGAGCGAACAATAGAAATTGCTTCAGTGGAACTGGACCGGCTTGTTGTATTGAGCGTATACAGACCTCCATCAGGATTGTATGATTGTTTTGAAGCTATCATGGATGAAGCTCTTAAGAAAACTTACACTACAGGCAAACGGTTGATTGTCTGTGGTGACTTCAATATTCATTTATTAGAAAAATCTAGTTTGTGTACTAAAATAAAAAAAAAACAATCATATAATCTGAAAAACTTATTCATTGAGTCTACTAGAAAAGCTGCCACTTCGGCCACTTGTATTGATAATATATATATATATATATATATGTATACAGACATCATACCACAAAAAAAAACATTTTTTTAATAAACTAGATAGCTAAAGCAGGTGACACAAAACACATCACTATTGTAACAAAATCTGCTGATCATGTGGAATGTTTTAAAACTCAATTAGATAGAAAAATGTTTTATCTAAAATATAAAGACAGGCCAAATGATTTATATAATATTTTTTTTAATATATAATATGCACTGAATTTAATAATGTTTTTGTAACCAAAAAAGTATGTGTTAATGATGCGGTAACTTTTACTAAGTGGGCTACGCCTGGAATTCATAAAAGTAGAAGAACACTTTATGAACTTTATAATGAAAGAAACACTACTGAAACATTTAAAGAGCATGTTCGTAACTATTCTGAATGGTTTAAAAAAGTATGCTGCTTAGCAAAATCAAATTACTTAAGTTCAAAGATTAAGAACAGTAATGACAAAATCAAAACGACATGGAATATTATAAACGATGAAACTGGAAAATCCAAAACTCACAATAATAATTATAACTTAAATATTGATAATAAAAAGGTTACTTCAGATATTGAAGTTGCTACAGCTTTCGAAAATTTCTTTACTAATATTCCAGTTTCAACTACTAAATCTTTGAACTCTTCCCCTATTGCTGTCGAATCAATCTTAAAGAGAAAACGTGAAACCTTGTAATAGTCTTTTTCATTTTAAACATGTTGACTTTAAAGATGCAATAAAAACATTTCACCAATCAAATAAAAAGAAAACCGCGGATCTGTGGGGTAATTCCATTGATGTTTCTAAATCGGTAATTGTGACAATAGCTCCTATTCTAGCTTGCATATTTAATGATTGTGTTGACTGTGGTGTTATTCCTGACCTCATGAAATACAGTAAAATAACTCCTTTGATTGAAACTGATTTAATAGAAGTTACACTTCTACTACATGCCCCAGAATATTTGTTTTTGTCAATGAGACGTGCTAAAGTTGGACTGCTCTCATCTCAGGTTGAATCCGAGGAGTGCGACACCAAAATGCACGTCCTCCACGTGGTCTCGTACATAATGGAGCGGTGCGGCGCCACCGTCGCGCGGGGTGGCGGTGCCGGCGCCCTGTTCTCGTACCTGCCGCAGCTGTGGGCGCACGCCGGCAGTGCCGCGCACAACATGCTTCTGGCCGCCGCTCTAGCTGCCACCGTACACTTGCTGAAGGTGCGTATTGATCTACAGCACGCGTCATACATAATAGCGGCGCCGGCGCCCTGTTCTCGTACCTGCCGCAGCTGTGGGCGCACGCCGGCAGTGCCGCGCACAACATGCTTCTGGCCGCCGCTCTAGCTGCCACCGTACACCTGCTGAAGGTGCGTATGGATCTACAGCACGCGTCATACATAATAGCGGCGCCGGCGCCCTGTTCTCGTACCTGCCGCAGCTGTGGTCGCACGCCGGCAGTGCCGCGCACAACATGCTTCTGGCCGCCGCTCTAGCTGCCACCGTACACCTGCTGAAGGTGCGTATTGATCTACAGCACGCGTCATACATAATAGCGGCGTCGGCGCCCTGTTCTCGTACCTGCCGCAGCTGTGGGCGCACGCCGGCAGTGCCGCACACAACATGCTGCTGGCCGCCGCTCTAGCTGCCACCGTACACTTGCTGAAGGTGCGTATGGATCTACAGCACGTGTCATACATAATAGCGGCGCCGGCGCCCTGTTCTTGTACTTGCCGCAGCTGTGGGCGCACGCCGGCAGTGCCGCGCACAACATGCTTCTGGCCGCCGCTCTAGCTGCCACCGTACACCTGCTGAAGGTGCGTATTGCATATATAGTATATGAAGCGAACGATAAGATCATTTATTCCTTACAGGCGTTAGGGGAATGCCCACCAAGCATCCGTCCTTGAATACTGAGTGTGGTGAATAAATCCACGCGTCTCAATGAGCCAGCGCACGTTAATCTCCTAGGCGAATTATAAATTAAGCGAACGATAAGATCATTTATTTTTTTACAGGCGTTAGGGGAATGCCCACCAAGCATCCGTCCTTGGATACTGAGTGTGGAGAACGAATCCACGCGTCTCAATGAGCCAGCGCACGTTAATCTCCTAGGCGAATTATAAATTAAGCGAACGATAAGATCATTTATTCTTTACAGGCGTTAGGGGAATGTCCTCCAAGCATCCGTCCTTGGATACTGAGTGTGGTGAACGAATCCACGCGTCTCAATGAGCCAGCGCACGTTAATGTCCTAGGCGAATTATAAATTAAGCGAACGATAAGATCATTTATTCTTTACAGGCGTTAGGGGAATGCCCACCAAGCATCCGTCCTTGAATACTGAGTGTGGTGAATAAATCCATGCGTCTCAATGAGCCAGCGCACGTTAATCTCCTAGGCGAATTATAAATTAAGCGAACGATAAGATCATTTATTTTTTTACAGGCGTTAGGGGAATGCCCACCAAGCATCCGTCCTTGGATACTGAGTGTGGAGAACGAATCCACGCGTCTCAATGAGCCAGCGCACGTTAATCTTCTAGGCGAATTATAAATTAAGCGAACGCTAAGATCATTTATTCTTTACAGGCGTTAGGGGAATGCCCACCAAGCATCCGTCCTTGGATACTGAGTGTGGTGAACGAATCCACGCGTCTCACTGAGCCAGCGCACGTTTATCTCCTAGAAGACGCCTTAGAACTATGGCTCGCCATACTAGAGATCTCACTCACTTCCGACCCAGTGCTTCTACAGCTCGCCGATAACCTGTATCCTATACTCGGTGAGTACTTCAACCCATTTATTAATAAACGAGGAATAAGCTTCGGTCTATACTCTATTCAACTTCCTCTGAGACAAAAGGTAAACAAATCATGAAAAGATTTCTCAATAGTTCGAATTTTACATGCATATAAAACCACGATTACGCAGGTGGTTAGCGCATTCGGTCTGCGATCGTGAAAGTTAACCAATTTTCGCAATGGTGGGTCTTTGGATGGGTGACCAAAAATTATTATCTGGAGTTCACCGTGCTTCGGAATGCACGTTAAGCCGTTGATCCCGGCTGCATCTGCAGTCGTTAGCACCCACCAATACGCACTGGGCCCACGTGGTGGGGCACGGCCATAGGGAAGGGCTGCGCCCCTGCAATGGGGACATTGATAGGCTATAAATGATGATGATTGCTTTCTTGGTGTGTAACATCTTTCCTCTCGCTTTCGTGCAATTTGTGGGAGTGTTTACGTGAAGTGGGACGGAAGCTTGTAACAGGAAGTTTGGGAAGCGCGCACTATTTGATTTGATTTTAGAATATTATGCTCAAATGGCTTATTCCTTTTGTAGTAGGTTTTATTTCTTTTTTTACTAATATAAGGCGGTTCAAATGTTACACATCATACGCGACTACTGTAAGGCTCGCTCGTTTTTTTCATTATCATTGTTAAGGCTTCTTAAGGAACTTCATAGCAATCTCACGGGACATGTGTATTGCGACAATATATTCAAGCGGCGTCTAATCTTGACGTATTAAATTCATTGTGGAGTTACCTACTTTATTTTTTACCTTTTTTCATTGTTCAACCGTTTCTCTTCTAACACAAGATTATAATTGTCACCACTGTTAAGTAATAATACAATTTTACTACTTTTAAGTACTACTTCCTAATTAAACTTACATTCAAGACTTTAAGTTGCTACAAATACATACAGGAAGTGTAAACATTTGGATTATCTATAATTTTGGAGTTTCATTTCATGTTCTAATTAACATGAAAATTGGCGACCGTGACAGGACACGAAACGACAATCAAGATTAATATATTGAAGAAATTTACTAAAACAGATCAAGATTAAGGATTTCGTAAAACTTGTTGGAGATAAGTTCACTACAAGAAACAGATGCATTAATATTTACGCCGAGAAATAATTGAGTGTCCACAGAAGTGCAATTCATAGTTCGGAATTGAGACAATACTTATCAGTTAAGTGCCTTTTCCTATATCCTAATATATTTATATCCAAAATAAAACTAGTTAATAAATTCCAATCATAGTCCTTTGTTCTCTTCCCAATATAATCTTGTGCTAATAAGTTATTTTTAAAATACCTACTGTATTGCATTTATTTGTGAAATATCATTACAATTTCATAAAAGAAGCAGCTATAAGACTTATTACTAGATATCATAGGATTCTATAGTTGTTGTTTTTAAATATATTTGTTATTTCTTTACTACAACTTATTCTTTGCACCAAACTGGTTTTACACCAAACCGCCGATTATTTCAGATCAACATTAAACGTTGACATCGCAATTTGTAACGTCTCGGCGCATTGCAACTGTGGTTTGCCTTTTATTACAAAGTTGATAAGCTGAGGTCTAACTTCGCCGGATGAGGAGCGTAAGACTATTCATAATAAGTATATTATTTTCTAAGCAATACTAATACCTACTTATTAAAACGTTGCACTCAAATTTACATCATATAAAATTTAAATTCAATTTTAATATCATAATTAAATCTAAGTCCATTCATTTGGAATTTACATACTTTTATAAAAAAATATAAAGTTTTCAATATGGGTAGCAGCGCAGAGCTTCAAGAGTTAATAATTCGTCGCAGTTCTATTAAAGGACAAATGACTAAATTTAAAAATTACCTTAATGTTGTTTCGGCAAAAGACAAGATTTCTTCACTCGAGCTGAACGAGTTGAGTATTCGACTTAAAAAATATGAAACTCTTTACTCGCGTTTTGATGACTTGCAAGGTCAGATAGAGGTCTTGAATTCAGATAATATGGATGGTGAGATTGATGAACGGGACAACATAGAGCAATCGTTTGCGAATCATATCGCCAGGGCCAATACCATAATACAAAAATATACTACTACTCAGAATCCGATTAAACAGTTGAACGATTCTGAATGCCCCGACTTTGCTTCATGTCATGTTCCAAATAATGAAGTAGGTTTCAAGTTACCCCAAATAAAGATCGCGAACTTCGACGGCGCCTACTTTAGGTGGCTCGAATTTCGTGATACATTTTTATCACTTATCCATAAAAACGATCGAATTGCACCTATTCATAAATTTCACTATTTACTCTCCTACCTTGAAGGCGACGCTGCTAGAATAGTTAGTAATTTAGAAGTGTCAAATGATAATTATGAAAATGCATGGCAACTAATTTGCGAACGTTATGACAACAAGAGATTATTAATTAACCATCATTTAAGCTCCTTGTTCAGCATCCAACAGATTTCACGTGAGTCAGACAGGTCATTACGAGCTTTAATCGATAATGTAACCAAAAACTTACGAGCTTTAGCTAACCTCGGGCAGCCTACAGACAAATGGGATTTATTAATCATTCACATGGTGTGCTCTAAGTTAGATAATCGAACACTTACTAAATGGGAGGAACAGCGTAGTACATCGAATGACATACCTACCTTTTCACAATTTCAAAAATTTTTAGTTGACAGAGCGGATGTTCTTGAGTCTTTGTGCCGTGGTACAGCTGTGAACAATAGTAAGTTTGTTGCAAGTTCACCTAATAAACCATTCGCAGGAGCAGGCAAGGTCGACCGACTTCAATCTAAGTCTTTTGCTTGCACTAGTCAATCTTCTTCTCAGCTACGTTGTGTTGTTTGCAACGGTGAACATAGAATATATGATTGCCCTACATTTAAAGCTCAGAGTGTGGAGGGTAGAATCGCGCATGCTAATCAACTGAAGTTGTGTATTAATTGTTTACGGCCGGGTCACACGGCATACAACTGTCGCTTAGGACCCTGTCGTAACTGCAAAAGGAGGCATAATACTCTTTTACACAAGCCAAACCCTACCCAAAAGGAATCTACTAATGCTCCATGCGAAACTATAGCCACATTTTCTCACCAAAATATAAACCAAGTTATACTTTCAACTGCTTTAATTGAGGTTTTTAATACGGTTACGAATAAATCTATTAAGGTACGAGCTCTTTTGGACTGTGGAAGTCAATCCTCTTTTATTACTCAATCCTTAAAACAAAAACTAGGATTGGTTTCTACAACAACAAATATAATAAATATTGTAGGTATAGGTAACAATGTCGCAAACCAAGTCACAGAAAGATGCAATATTAAATTAAATTCATTAATTAACTCATTTTCTATAGTATTAAATTGTCTAGTATTACCAGAACTAACAGGTGATGTTCCTAAATCTTTTATTAATATTTCGAATACACAATTACCTAAGCACATCAAACTTGCAGATCCGAACTTTAACCGACCTGCTCCAATTGAATTATTGATTGGAGCCGATATTTTTTGGGATATTGTTCTAGGCTCCGAACAACGTATTTGGAGTCCTGGTTTCCCTAAATTAATAAACTCCCAATTAGGCTGGTTGATCGCAGGTTCTACTAATAGTACAGTTATATCAAATTACATTCACTGCAATACAGCTATATCTCAATCATTCGTTAGTGAAAGTTTTGATAGCCAATTGTCAAGGTTTTGGGAGCTTGAAGAGCTACCCCAAACAATTAGTCTCACTGCTATTGAAAGGGCATGTGAAAATCATTTCAAATTAAATACTGTGCAATTGAAAACTGGAAGATTTTGTGTCAAGTTACCGTTAAGTGACTCACCTGACTGTCTCGGTGATTCTTATGCACTCGCTAAAAAAAGATTCTTGTCTTTGGAGCGCAGGTTTCGAAAGCAGCCTCATGTTAAGGAACAATACGTCGAATTTATCAGAGAATACTCAAAACTAAATCATCTTTCAGAATCATCAATTGTTAAACCAGACGTTTCTTATTTTCTCTGTCATCACGCTGTCTTCAAGGCAAACAGCGAATCCACTAAAATCAGGGTCGTTTTTGATGGATCCGCGCCTACTATTTCAGGTCAATCCCTCAATGACATTCTGCTTATCGGTCCCAATATACAGGATTCTCTTCTTTCCATTCTAATTAGAGCAAGGCAGTATAAATACATCCTAACTGGCGACATTGAAAAGATGTACCGTCAGATCTTATTGTCCAAGGATGATCGCAATCTACAGCTCATTTTGTGGAGAGAAGAAGAGTCCCAGCCTTTGAAAACTCTCCGCTTGAATACTGTTACTTACGGTCTTGCAAGTTCCAGCTATTTGAGTACTCGCTGCCTGTGGCAAGTTGGAGAACAATGTCAGGATCCTCTGATCAAAACTATAATTCAAAAGGATTTTTATGTGGACGATTTGATAACGGGCTCTGATGATCCTGCTACCTTGATTCACATAAAAGATTCAGTAGAAAGCGCTTTAAAGGAATGTTGCTTCAATTTGAGAAAATTCAAATCAAATCTCAGTTCTGTCCTTGACGAGATTGATTCAAATGATAATTTGGACATAAGTTCTTCTTCAAGCACACTCGGGTTGGGTTGGACGCCTACTACAGATTGTCTGCATTTTCCCATTCAAGCCCCTAACACAAATGAGGTGCCTACCAAACGTTCAATTTTATCATCGTCTTTCAAGATATTTGATCCGTTGGGTCTTTTAAGCCCATGTGTGATTTTGCCTAAAATTATTTTGCAAAAGCTGTGGTTGGAAAATCTTGGCTGGGATGAGCCTGTTCCTCCATCAATTAAAAATGGATGGTACAAATTCACCAGTACCTTACCATACCTTTCAAATCTTCAAATTCCCAGACGAGTTTTGTGCGACGCATTTCTAAGCATAGAGCTGCATTCTTTTAGCGACGCATCTAAAACAGCCTATGGTGCTTGCATTTACCTCAAAACAATTAACGCAAACGATGAGGTAAAAATCAGTCTGTTATGCGCAAAATCCAAAATTTCTCCCATAAAGCCCACCACCATTCCTAGATTGGAATTGTGTGCTGCTTTGTTAGCCGCTCGATTATCAAAATTTGTAGTAGATTCATTACGCTGTAAAATTGATAGACAAATTCATTGGTGCGACTCGAGTGTGGTTCTAGGTTGGCTACGCAGTAGTCACCGAAATCTTAAAATTTTCGTTGCCAACAGAGTTGTCGAAATTTGTGAACTCACTAATTCATCATCATGGCGCCACGTTCCAACGTCTCAAAATCCAGCGGACCTTATTTCTAGAGGTATTTATCCCGACAAATTGCTCGATACTTCTTTGTGGTGGTCTGGACCCGAATTCTTGGCACGAAACGAAGAAACCTGGCCTAATTTAAATGTCACCCTAGACGACGAACTACCAGAAGTTAAAGCAAATGTTGCAGGAATTGCAAAGCTAGTAGGTGAGCCCCCCATTATACAAATGCAAAATTATTCAAATTTCATGAAACTAAAGCGAATCTTTGCCTTTATGCTGCGATTTATACACAATATAAAAAAATCTAAAAGTAGGTTAAGTGGTAATTCTTTGTCAGCCATCGAACTTAACAATTCATTTCTTGGTCTTTGTAGACTAGCTCAACAACAATCATTTGCATTGGAATACCATATTCTTTCCAAAGGTAACTTGTTGAGCCCAAAATCTGCTATTTTGTCACTTGCGCCTTTTTTTGATAACAGTTTGATTAGAGTTGGTGGTCGTATTGCTGCATCGGACTTACCGTATGATGGTAAGCATCCCATACTCTTACATAGTAACCATTATTTTACAAAACTTTTGTTTAAATATGAGCACACTCGCAACCTTCACGCGGGTCCACAACTACTTTTGAGCATAATTAGAAATTATGTATGGCCTATTAACGGGCGTCGTTTGGCTCGTGCTACCGTTCGCAACTGTACCATTTGTGCACGATTTAGAGGACGGACGTTTCAACCTATGATGGGCAATTTACCATCTCAACGCATCACGCCAGATTTCCCATTTCGTACAGTAGGAATTGATTTTGCTGGGCCATTTCTGATTTTAAATCGGAAGGGTCGTGGATCAAAACTAATTAAATGCTATTTGTGTTTGTTTGTCTGCCTCAGGTACAAATGTTTACATTTAGAAGCCGTAAGCGACCTAACTAAAGATGCGTTCATTCTAACTTTTCGTCGATTTGTTGCGCGTCGCGGCAAGCCAGCAGAAGTATTCTGCGACAATGGCCGTAACTTTGTTGCTGCTGCCAAGGAGTTTGGTGATTTTATCAGTTCAAATGCAGACGCTCTGTCTGATTTTGCAAGTGAGGACGGAATAAAATTTAGCTTCTCTCCAGCATACGCTCCTCATTTTGGCGGAATTTGGGAAGCTGGTGTTAAGTGTGCAAAGCATCATATAAAACGCGTAATGGGTAACACCCACGTAACTTTTGAGGAGATTACCACCTTATTCGCACAAGTAGAAGCCATACTCAATAGTCGACCTTTGTGTTCCCTATCCTCAGATCCAAACGATCTCCTATGCCTAACTCCTGGGCACTTTCTGATAGGTCGTCCCTTGAATGCACTTCCATCTCCTGCTCTAGAAGACAAAGAAGCAAACAAATTGCTACGATATGCACGTCTGGAGCAGATCCGTCAACATTTTTGGCAGCGCTGGCAGCGTGAATACGTTTCAACCTTGCAACAACGGGTAAAGTGGAAGTCCAATTCAGGAAAAAATCCAAAGGTTGGGGACCTAGTGTTACTTCAAGAGGATCATGTACCGCCGCTTTGCTGGAGATTGGGACGAATCCTCAAGCTATATCTCGGAGCAGACGGCATTGCTCGCGTCGCCGATGTGAAGACCACAAAGGGTTCTGTTCGTCGCTCACTCACCCGTATTTGTCCGCTGCCTACAGCTGATGAGTTTAGTTGCCAAGAATTGGAAGACCAGTCTTCCAATGGCGGGGAGGATGTTAAGGCTTCTTAAGGAACTTCATAGCAATCTCACGGGACATGTGTATTGCGACAATATATTCAAGCGGCGTCTAATCTTGACGTATTAAATTCATTGTGGAGTTACCTACTTTATTTTTTACCTTTTTTCATTGTTCAACCGTTTCTCTTCTAACACAAGATTATAATTGTCACCACTGTTAAGTAATAATACAATTTTACTACTTTTAAGTACTACTTCCTAATTAAACTTACATTCAAGACTTTAAGTTGCTACAAATACATACAGGAAGTGTAAACATTTGGATTATCTATAATTTTGGAGTTTCATTTCATGTTCTAATTAACAATCATAATATACTATGTTCCTTACAGAACAGTCATCGGAGCACCTTCGTATAGTGGTTTACATAATGCAAGCGTACACACTTTTGTGTCCCGAAGAATTCTTGACAGGGGCTGGGGCAAAATGTATGGCGGTTTTAGACGACATGTTAGCGGATATGAGAACGGAGGGCATCATAACTGCGTTAAAGATGGCGGAAATATGCGTCAGCGTCACGTTCCCAGAGAGAAATGCACTTTTAGGCGTTAAAGTCATCTGGCCTATACTCATCAGGGTTATAAAGTGAGTCAGTTTATTTTGTATTGTTTGCGGGATATTAATGCCGGCACTTCGCATGACTATTTGTATAATGCCACCAACTTGTCTGTGGAACGGCAAAAAACGGAACTACTGACGCCATTTTGAAAACGTCATGTTGATGTTTAGAGTTGCTGTTCTACAAAATTTTTGATAATTGTTATTTAACAGCAGGTTATGCTTATCTATACTCTATAGGGAGTGAAAAAGAGATTTTTGTCAAGTTTACAAATAACAAATATGAATAGGCATCTGAAGTGACTGATTAATAAGGGGAGACATTTGTCAATTTCTTTGTTATACAGTATAACAATTTTCTAGCCCCAGTAAGACATGTTTTCTCTTGAACAATTTACTTAATGAGTAGGTTAAAAAAATAGATTACCTAAAATCATGATTGCCATTACGTCTAATTTATTTTAGTACAAAAAGAACTGAATTGTTTATATATTTGAAATTTAATAGCTCCAAATTTTGTATTCGGCAACAATCATTAAGAAAATAAACTCAATAACATTAAGCTGTTTGATAACAAAAATATGTATTTTCTAGTTCGCTACTGGAAGGGTATGATCTGCCAATGGTACTATCAGTACAATTATGTCTGGTCTCAAGAGTCATATTATTGTCGTCCGATTTGTTTTATAAAGCCGTACAAGAGGCGTCGAATGGACTCGTCGAGTACGATTCGGACCCCGCCAAAGTTCTAAACAAACTCCTACTAGAGTGGACGGGGAGAATGAATTTAGTGACGCAAGTGGAAAGGTGGAAGGTAGTTGGTAAGTTTAAAATTCAAGTGAAGCTTTTTAATTATTAAAATAAGTCTATGTGGCATATTGACGTATAAAAACAAGTAGACTTACAATTGCGCTTATAAAGTGTCAGAAGAAATTACGCACATGCGTCTATTGTGCGTAATTTTCAGACAGTCGTTGTAACGACCGTGTTTTGCTCACAACGCCATGCAATGACAAAGTGTTCGGTTAAAATCTGTACAAATGACATAAGCCAGCCTATTCGCAAACTGATAATAGAAATCAGATAATAGAATGAAACATATTTTATCATGAATTTAGTATATTACAAAATATATTAAAAATGGGTTGCCTAAGAAAATTTCGGACAGACTATTTTTTAATAATTTAGAAAATATATATGCAGGTATGCTCTCTTCGCAGCAGAAGGGCGAGGGGGAGGAGAGGCAGGCGCGCACTGGCAGATCTTTTGCCACCCTGACAAAGGGGATAGCCCGCACAGGGGCAAGTGGGAGACTGGGTCACGTAGGGACCCTGGGATTGTCAGCACTTGAACGATGTTCAACGGTCCTTTTCAGGACCCGGTAGGAGCATCACCCCACAGTGAGTCTGATCATTGCGATTGGCGGTAGATACTCAAAAGGCCCTTCTTAGGGCCAAGGGGGCGGAAGAGGGACGGAGAGAACTACGGGGGGGGGGGGGGGGGACTCCGGGCCATCTTCGGCTTCATCGGGGTGGGTCCGTTCGCGGTCAATCCAGTGGCCATAATTATTAAAAATAGTCTGCCAGGATTTTTTTAGGCAATCCTTTTTTTATATCTTATAAATAAAATTCTCGTCACTATGTTAGTGAAATGAAATTTTATATGCATATTCCGTGGGGTTGAGAATCGGCTACTATCTATTTTTCATATCCTTAGGTGATGATGGTTGGGACTCCGAACGCCGAGTCTTGGTCGGAGAAATCGGGCAGGATCTGTCTCCGCCAGCATTGATTGCGGCGATGCTTGCGGATGTTGGTTGGAAGGCTGCGGCCTCCTTCTGTGAAGCGGTGATGCTCCAGAAGGAGGCCGCCGAGCGGGATCGGGAGATGGCCGATCCCGCTCGAAGAAGGCGGCGTTGGGCCAGATAATGGCCTGATGTGCCGCCGCGGGTCGCTGGTGAGCACGACAGAGCTTGTGCTCATGCAAGCGACCTGGGAGGGACGAGACCCCCGCATGGCCGGGGGGTGTCGTCGTAGGAGGGTGGATGGGGGGAGGTTGCTAACACTCTCCCGAGAAGGGCTCCCCTGGAGGAAGCAGCGGAACAAAGGCTGCGGGTCCTCAGATGCGATACTCGATCCTGAGGCCCCGTACAATGCCTGATGGCGGCCATCGCTGGGGTTTTAGTGGGTATGCCTCCCTCTTCTGGGGAGGAGAGCCCCAAATAACCACCATGTGGTATGCAATTTAATGCATTTCCCCAGCGTATCAAAAAAAATAGGTGATGATGGTTGTCCACCTGTAACGTAGTGTTCTGAAACCTACAATGCGCCGTCGCGCAAAAATTCAAACTATTGGGTATTATAACGTAGTGTTCTCATATGGGTTAGGAGGAATGTTAGCCCAGGAAATTGATAGAACGTTACACACCCATAAATTTATTTTGGACAATATTTATTTTTCGTAAAATGTGGTATTAAAAAATACATACAACCCTAAATTATCTCTTCTGCCACCTGCCCCTATTTTTATGGAGGTACGAAGTTCCCCAGGTCTGCTAGTATTTTGTAATATGCTAAATTCATGATAAAATATGTTTCATCCTATTATCAGCTCGGTGAAGGTCGATGTAGGTTCGATTTTCTACTGTTAGTGGCGTTATAATAAAGCAGTAGTGGATCACTAAATAGCTCGGTGATTATCATTTTATCTGTCAAAAGCAGTTAGAGAATAGGCCTACTGATCCGCACAGGCTTACTCCGCTTCCTTATGAGGTGGAATAGCCTACCGCGCATGAATGCTGCGTCATCAGGAACTATCTCGAGATAAGGTGCAAATATTAATCGTTTTTTAGGGTTCCGTACCTCAAAAGAAAAAAAAGGAACCCTTATAGGATCACTTTGTTGTTGATCCAACCGAATTTGACAATGTCAAATTTTGTATGGAAAAATGAACAGCAGCGGCTCAAAGTACGTAACGAGAACTAAAAATCAGTACACATTTGACAATGACATTTCGGACTCGCAAAACGATACGAATTCGATATTGGTTCGTGCTAGGGGTACTGTACTCTAAGACGTTACTTCGTACCAAATTTCGAGATTCTAAGTTCACGGGAAGTACCCTGTAGGTTTTGACTCCCGTGCAAGTTTAAATAAAGGAAAAATTGCGAAACCGTACCTTTTCAGTTACATCATATAATAACAAATATTTTTGAAAATTCAGGTTAGTACGGAACCCTCGGTGTGCGCCTTGCACTTGGCCGGTTTTTTTTCAATAAATTCTTTCGATAATGGCTCAAACTCACCTGTTGTTTAGTGACGGTGTGGAGTACAGATGCGAAGCTAGCTGTTCCCAACAGCAGTCTTCATCTTGCCGGCCTGTAAAATTGCTTCTTCACGCCTCTTAAGGGATCTAAAGTACATTTGGATTTTCTATTTTCTTTCTCTCTCTGAACAGGAGGCTGATCAGGCTAATATCAAACGACTGAAACGCATTGAACCGTAAACGAACCGCAACCTTTTATGTCATTTCGTATCGCGCTAAAGTTTTGACAGCTAGTTGAGATGTAAACGTGTTACGATTGGACCGTTATTAAAATAAAACCGAACGAACTTCAGTCAAAAACAGCATTTTAGATTTCAGTTGAGAGGTAAAAATTCGCGCGATACCGATTTCGTGTAAAGTTGACTTGCAATTTGAATTGGATTAAGATTGAATCGTGATTGAACTGAGGTGGGTTGTTCAAAATAATAAATAGCGCGATTGGCCTGCAGGACTCGGTCTCGCCGCATTACTGACAACGCAGAATCCGACGGTTCTACAGCGGTTTCCGGCGATACTACTCAACCTGACTGAAGTGTTGCACGATGTCATGAAGACTGAAGATAACGGAACTTTTGTCGAGTAAGTATAATTTTATTAACCGACTTCAATAAAGGAAGAGGTTCTGTGTTCGACTGTATATAAGTATATATTTTTTATGTATGTTCACTGATTTCTCCGTCAATTGTGGACAGATTTCCAAAATTCCTTTTTTATTCGAAAGAGACCACTTCCGAGGTGGTCCTATTGAAACTAAGTCAGGATCTGATGGTGGAATTGAGGGAAACCTTCAAATTTCAAAGGCACGCACGATGATTTTTTATGCATGTTTACCGATTTCTCCGTTAATTGTGGATCGATTTCCTAAATTCTTTTTTTCTTTCGTTTATTGTTTACTTGGACGATGTAATTTTCACTAAAATGGATGAAATATTTTTTTTAATAAAAAATAAAACCGACTTCAAAATCGAAAATGGAATAAAAAGTAAAAAATAATATCTGGTTCATGATTTGGAAGTCGGGCGGGGTCAAGGGAGTATAGACCATGGTCAACGGAGCCTGTGTAGCTTAGCAACCATTCGTCCTCGCCTTACACACACTGCGGAACGATGAACTAACTCGTGACAACGTGACATGACGTCACACTTTCGTACATGCAGCCGGTGTTCATTGATTTATAAGACATTATCATCACGTCGAAACGTGTACTGTGTAATATGTTGGGTGATGGAGACAGGTTATAATGAACGATAAGACATAGATATAGATTGATTTCGATTACACAATATACACACATACTTATTTTTTCTATTAGCTCACAAAACAAGTTACAATTAAATATTAAAAAACAAAGCAATTACAATAATTCAAAACCAAACTGCAACTCGAAGTATGTGGGCATAATGTGTTAAAATTTTATGCGATGAAGTTTACAGAAAAAAACTATTAAATAGAATTTCTGCAACACTTGCAAAAGTACAAAGGAACCGATTTGTTTTTGTTAATGAAGTATTAATCTTTGGATTTCTGTCCTAAATTCAAGAAGCTGACTACAAAACATACATACTGATAAAACAAAACTGTTGTGATGTTTTTAGGCCATATTCATTAAATTATTCTCAATATATCACACAACCCCTAAAGATCTCTATTACAACTGCGCAAGTTTGTTTGTCTGTTTTGCTCAAGAAGTTTGTATCTACCTTTCACTGACTATATAACAAGCGATGGCCTCGCAAAAACAATGTTCAAGTCCACTCCACTACTTAACACCACAGTAAGACATTACTGTTTGGTGGTGTTGCGTTTCTGCCGGTGAGCCAGGTTCCAGAGCTCCAAGTAGTAGGGGATTGGATCAGGGTAGGCGGGTAGGCAGGTAAGGCGATATATTTTATATCGTCTAGCGTCTATAGCCATATGCTTGTTTACCACCCTTTTAATATAAAAGAAAGTATTTTGTATGCTCGTGTTCGTACAACCATAGATAAAGGATAATACACATAGACAGAGTACCTATCGCAAATATTCCTAAAAATTATTTGTGCGTATCGGTGTTTGATTGTGACTGAAAGTGTCATTTTGTCAAGATATGCTTAAAACACAGGATACTACAACACAAACTGAATTCTATAAGCACAATTGTTTTTTTAGTTTCACAGGATTTCATACTAAACTTTATCAAAGTACGGCTTGACACGACGATGTTGTCTTTCTACCTTGTAGGATTGTCGTTAGGGCATGATATTTCTTTCCTCACTCTGTCAGTCTTTTAATACTAAGGTCTTAAAATACAATTAAATACTTGCAGCAAATTGCTAAATCTCAATTGAACTAGCTTTAACCTATGCAATAATGTCAAAGGCTCGTATTACAGAATGACAACTAAGTATGTATGTACATAGTGACATCCCTTTCGAACTGTACTCAAGTAAACATCAACACTTATTTGTAATTCTGTAATACGGGCCAAAGTGACACTGTCGCTTTGACATTTTGCTATGGCTTTTAAACTTAAAAATACATTTTTTTCCCACCTATAATATTTTGTAATATGACTTGTTCGGGTGTGCAGAATGCGTAGTTTAAGTTTTTATCATAGGTTTTTTACACATCAAGTTTTAGTTGAATCGACATTTAGTAAATTTACTGCAAGTGGGCCAAAACTATGCTTTTAACATAAAAGAAAGTGTTACTATGCTTGTGTATGGTTCAGCGGCCTAGTGGCAGCGCCGGGCTCCCGGCCCGCGTCCCCGCTGGAAGGGCGCGGCGCCCCGGCCCGCTGGGGCCCGCCGCCCCTCCCGCCCGACTCCCCGCACGAGGCGCGCCGTCGCCGCCTTGCCGCCTCACACCCGGCGCGTGCTCTAGACCTGCGTGCCGCTACACACCACCAGGTATGTTCTATGGTGCTGCGGCCTAGTGGCAGCGCCGGGCTCCCGGCCCGCGTCCCCGCTGGAAGGGCGCGGCGCCCCGGCCCGCTGGGGCCCGCCGCCCCTCCCGCCCGACTCCCCGCACGAGGCGCGCCGTCGCCGCCTCGCCGCCTCACACCCGGCGCGTGCTCTCGACCTGCGTGCCGCTACACACCACCAGGTATGTTCTATGGTCACAGCGGTCTAGTGGCAGCGTCGCTGGGGCTATCACAGGAACCCGTGCAATGCAGGCTGGAGCTCCCACACCAGCCCACTGGCTCCCGGAGGAGTGGGGAGGGAGCGTAGTTCTCCCCGTCTCTCTACTCTCGCCATCAGTATCGGTACAGTCATTCCCATCATCCTCGCTCCCTCCTTACCCCGAGGGTAACCGCAGATGCCAGGGGGCATCGATAAAGACTCCGAGCAACCGATTGGTCAATCGGACGTCTTCCCACCTGGGTCCAACGCCAAGGACTCAGCGACCCTCCTGTCCCCAGGGTGCTATTTTATAGGCTGATTATCAAGGTCATCATCAGCCTATAAAATCCCCACTGTAGGGGTACAGGCCTTTCCTATGGATGTAATAGGGGACTGGGCCGTGACCCACCACGCCCGCCCAGTGCAGATTGTTGGTGCTAACGACTACAGTCGTCACTGCATCTACATGCAGCCGGGACCAACGGCTTAACGTGCCTTCCTAAGCACGGAAGAGCTCGAAATAATAAGTTTATGGTCACCCATCCAAAGACAGACCATTGCGAAAGTTGCTTAACTTTCACGATCGCAGGCCGAATGCGCTATTTACTTGCGCCATCGAGCTGCTCTATAACACTACATTTCAGTACCCGAAGCACGAACAACTAGCGAGAAACGATCGCCACCGTCAACGTACCGAATGCCACTGCTTAGCTTCTATAAAACTGATGTTTTTTTTTGTCAAAACACCATGAATTATCTTCAGGTCTATTACAAGGTCATTCGTCACAGTTAACATCTGCAAATTGTGCAAATATTTTTTCTGTCATTTTTGGCAAAAATCTGGCAGGAAGTGTTCATAATCGCAAAACTAGGTCATTTTCTCTTCTATTCAGACAGCTTGCACAAATAACATATATTCATTTGTTCTTTTACAAACTGACGAACCTGAAGTTGCAAGTATAACAACAGACCTAAAAGATGATTCTGCAGTTGGATGGGATAATATCTCAAATAAAATAGTAAAACAATATAAGTTACTCCTCGTTCCACCGCTAACTAATATTATCCAAAAGTGTTACACTGAAGAAATTTTCCCTAAATGTTTAAAAAAAACGTCTATGTTTCTGTATTTAAATCTGGCCGTAGAGATCATGTGATAAACTGTAGACCCATTTAGCTTCTTCCTGCAATGTCAAATATTTTGGCAAAAATTATTAAATACTTACTCGTGAAATATTTGGAAAATAAATCTATACTATCCAAAAATCGGTTTGGGTTTAGGTCCAAGTTATCTACTGCCGACGCTGTTCATCAACTTACTGACTATTTAGTACAGGAGCTCGATAAGTGCAATAAGACAGTAGGTATATTTCTTGACCTAGCAAAAGCATTTGATGCAGTTTTCGTACCCATCTTGTTGTAAAAAGTAGAATCATTGGATATAAGAGGTACCCAGCTTAAATTATTTGAGAATTATCTATGAGAATTTACTCAGTGTGTAAAAATAGGGTAATGTTATTAGTTCAGATCTAGACAACACCTGGTATGAGGTTTCTCAGGGAAGGCTCTACTCTATTTTTTGGTGTACATAAATGACCTATGTAATCTGAAACTGGAAAGTGACAGAATAATTTCAGAAATTCAATAAACCTATATCATCTTACATATAAAATTCTCGTGTCACAATGTCAGTTACCATACTCCTCCGAAACGGCGTGACCGATTTTTATGAAATTTTATATGCACATTCAGTAGGTCTGAGAATCTGCTACTATCTATTTTTCATACTCCTAAGTGATAAGTTAAGGTCCACCCCTAACATTTAATTTTTATTTTTTGAACAAAATTTTATTTTTTTATAATGTGGCATTAAAAAATACATACAACCCAAAATTTCACCCTTCTACCACCAGCCCCTATTTTTATGGCGGTACGAAGTTCGATGGGTCAGCTAGTTATTAATATAGAAACTTGACGGTGGCGATACTAAACAACTGTCTTGCTAGTTGCTTGTGCTTGGTGTTCTGATGACTAACACTTGCCGTTGCATCCCTAACAATAGGGATAATTATGGGGTAAAGTAAACAAAATTATATTCCGTCAGTACATTATCAGAAAATAACGGACACTGATTTTTTCTTTTGTCAATCAACCAAAAAATAGCAAAGACAAAGCACGCCAATATTTGGGAGTGGGGCCTTGTGACGTTACTTCTAAGAGAAAATTGCACCAAGGCGTGACGTCATGCGATATTTCAAATCAAAATATCTCTCTGTAATGTTCTGATTATGTGAATAAAGAAAAAATGTGTGTCCAATACTTATTGATAATAATATACCTGATAGACGAAGAAAAAAGTTAGTCATCACTCATCACCCCTATTATTTTGATAACGTGACAACATCTGAAACATTCGAATATTTCCAACCATACTGAAATAAAAGAAACCACTGAAAATATCGTCTATTGCGAAATAGAAAAGTAAATTTACATGTTTTGTTGCAGTTGGAAACTTTGAAAAGCCAGGTGGGCCCAGAAACTTTTGAGCGATTGTTGCAAGCGACCGATCAGGATACGCTTAAGCAAATCAGGGAGTACATACCGCTCTGAATGTTGGCTACTTTCCGAAAGATGCGGCGGGGTCCGAGTGTGGGCAGTTAGCGGGATTGTCTAAAAGAATAAAGAGTGAGATTAACTTACGAATATACGCGGATGAGTTAAAGTCGCATTTAGTATAACACAAATAATAACAGCAAAAATATATGATCATTTTCTGTGTAACTAAGGCGCGATGTTTCAAACATAGTTAAATTTTACTGTAATTAAAATACTAGAGAAAAAATAAATATTTGTCAAAATTTGCTATGTAATTGACGTAACAATAACTATAGTTAGATTTAACTATAGATGTTACAACGTGAAGTAAGCAGCCTTTATGAAGACTCATACTATATGAAGACTACATTTGTCTACTATAAGTAGAACATGTGATGTTCTATCTAGTATGTAATACATAAAATTGGGCATCAATATTAGCTTACTGCTATAATTTTTATTTTTAAGCAGAACTGCTCGATGTTTAAATCTAAAGAAAATATTACTAGAAAAATTTCCACGCGGACCAGGCAGCAGACGGAATTCGAACCCACACCCTTCGCCATCCGGGCGAATGCACTGACCATTAGCCTAAGAAAGGCTAGAAAGAATTCGACACGGCCGTCAGGGCCGCGGTAGCATATATTCTGTGCACTGTGCCTGGTCCGCGCGGAAGTCTTTCTAGTAATATTTTCTTTTGATTTAATTAAGGTACTGCTTTTACAAAAAAGTGATTTTACTGTTACATAGACAGCTGGCATCAGGACAGAGCGAGATGGCGAAAGAAGAAAAAAATCGAGCGAGCCTTATAGTGGTCGCGTAAAAAAGAAATAAAACCTACTACAAAATGAATAAGCCATTTGAACATTATGTTCTAAAATCAAATCAAATAGCGCGCGCTTTCGCGACTTCCTGTTACACACTTCCGTCCCATTTCACGAAATCACTCCCACAAATTGCAGGAAAGCGAGAGGAAAGATGTAACACATCAAAAGACTGCACCGACTGGGGCGTTGCTCTGAAATTGATAGAGAGAGAGAGAATGACAGCTATTTGGCTATGAGTAATAATAGACAAATTTACAATCATATCTCCGAAATAAGTGTTTGTTTGTGCTGTTTATGCGAACTTAGCACATAAGACAGGATCGATACGGTTTTGATATATAATAATAACCAGTAATTTTTTACCGATAAATTTTTTTTTAGATTTATTGTTATCTGCCTAAGGTTCTACTCATAGGGAAAAATACCTAATCTAGAACCAAACTTTAAATGCCAATATTAAGAATTTCAATGCCTTGCAGCCAATAATAACGTACTGCCAAAAACATAGCGATATTATCTAGGATATTAGTTTTAAAGTGTGTTTTCAAAATACAGTTGATTTTTTAAAAGTGCACAGACTTTTATATAAATTTGATGCACTATCTTCATGAAAATTATCCCGGTAAATGAGAATTTTTTATCGTTAATTAATTAGTATGAAAGAGTTACAGAATTTTCATATCTTAGGGCTAATTCTCACTGGAATGGCAGAGGCCCCTAGTGACGCGGCGAGCACTTTTAGTACGAAGTAATTTTAAACTTTATCTATATAGTTAAAGGACCAGTATCGCTTGAAAAGATAACACGGTGTCGCGAGCAATTTAATTTTAAAACAACTTTAAGTACATAGATGGAGTTTAGATCGAAACTGCTCGTCGCCCACTGAAAGTGCTCGCAGCGTCGTCTGCCGGCTGCGTCATTACTGTGTGAATCAGCCCTTAGGTTTTTTTTATGTCCATAGTGAAAAGATTAGCACTTTAAACATGAATCGATTTCTGTTATAAAGTTTCAATAAGTTAACATACGTCATACCTTACACTCAATGCAATTCAGCCCCCCTAGCATGAGCACCGCGATATGATATATAACGCGTTTTTATCACGCTCAATTGTCAAATTACTGTGGAGTTTGACAGTAAGGCGCGATAAAAAACGTGATACGATGTTAATTGTGACGCTTATGCTACGGGGACTGAACATTTTCAGTACTTTAGCAATCACTTCTCCGTTTTACGATAAAAAGGTGTCAATTTTCAATGGACTATTGCATAAATTATTAGTCGATTAATTTGAACTCCGATAAAGTTCAGGTGCGTTTTTCTTCATGCGACTTTGGCCGTCATCTGCAGTACCACTTTAACGTTACTATTTCTGTGATCGGTGACATAAGTAATCAAGAAATGTAGATATCGATGGCCATTATTTATAACAAGAGCATTTAAGTATAATAAGATTATTTTGGTATTGTATTAATGTTATATTAACTTTACACAGATCTGTAGTTAGCACATTGCTAGATCAGGCTTAGAATTTGTCTACTTATAATGAAAATATTATTTGCGTTGTAGGATTTTTTTTTGATTAGTTGCATACGAGAATTCTGTAAACGAAGAATATCGACCTTAAACTTATGGATCCGAAAGTTTCCCATTTTTTATTACATAAACGATCTTCTGACGACGACGTCCTTTGTGGCCGAGTGGATGTACGGCGGATTACAAGGTGTCGCCTACTCTAGAGCTCCCGGGTTCGAATCCAGGGGGGGGGGGTAGATGTTTGTGTGATGAATACGAGCATCTGTACTCTAGTCAGGTGTTATATGTATTTCTATATCAAAATACTTATATTTGTATCAGCATATGTATGGAAAAAGTAAGATGAATCTTGCGGCAATAAAAAAAATATTGAAAATAATTACTCTCTGTCCCTCTTGCACATTATTGCTGACTGGATGTGAGCAGGGTCAAGTGATAGACAGTGTAACAAGGGGCGCAGTGTAACAAAAGAAATGTCTGTGTCCTTTTCTTATTTGTCTATGGTCTGTTTTGACGTGATTTTATTAGTTACACATGCCGCCATCTTAAACAGCTGCCATCAGACGTCAAATGGCCGGGTGTAAAACAGGGATATATACCTCTTGTTGATTGTGCCTCTTGTTACACTTTCCCCCACTTGATCCTATACCATTTAATTTCCTTCGACATTGTATTTTATTTCACACTGTGACATTACCCATTTTGATATCTTTCTTCTGGTCTTCCCAGAATACATGCACTATCACCGGTATTATTTTGTATTTGTTGACCTTCCCTAATTTTTAGCAAAAGCTATCTATTTTTTATATTTATTATTGTATTTGCCCTATAAGTGGGTTTGTATAAATTGAATTGGAAAAAATAATAATAAAATTACTCCAAAAAAAAATGTTTAAGACGAAAAATGGACTTGCGCAATCTTATAGACAAGCTGACGTAGGGTTTCCCAACTTTGATACAATTTTCGAATGATTTTATCACCTATCTGTTATTATACGTTTGTATATTGTTAATTTTTTAAACATATTCCTTTTTTTATACCATTTATAAATAAACAATGAAATTATTTATTTATAAATGGTATAAAAAAAGGCAATCGTTCAGAGTTGAAAGATGGTTGAATGGATGGATGGTTAATGAAAAAACAGCTTAAAGCGATTGTTGTTTTTAAACATGCCTCTTATTGTGTAACTAAATAGCCTGGTATCATTGATGTTGAGAACGACATTAATCCCAATTTGGCAAAATTACAAATAAGTTCTCAAAACGACTTATTACTTGAATAATAAATCTATGATTCATTACCATAAATGTATACCATAAACTGAATTGTCTTTTATGTGTTTACTCAAAATATTTGTTTTTTAATTAGATCTCTTTCGTTCTAAAAGTCCGAAACTTCTTTTACGTTTGTATCCATAGATATTAGTTAAATAAACATGTCGTTTTTTGCAAAGAAAGTGACATTATAGTTTTTAATAAAAGTTCACTCAAGTTTCTGAGCTCGGCCGTATAATAAGTCTTACATATGTATGGATGCGAGCAAGATCGAAGTTCAGCTACACAACAATAAGGTTCTCTCCCCGTGGCATGAGCACCACAATTTACATTATATCACGTTATCGCGTCTAATTGTCATACTCCATAATAATTTCACAATTGAGCGTGATTGATTTTTATCATGTTCAATTCAATTGAGCGTGATTTTTTATCACGTTCAATTGTCAAATAACTGTGGAGTTTGACAGTTAAATGTGATATAATGTAAATTTTGGTGCTCATGCTATGGGGACAGGGCCCTATTATGAAGTCTTTGACGACAAGCAAAAACAGCGGCTGAAACGGGAGACTACTCCTTTAAAGCAGCTTTGGAGCAGGATTTTGGTAGCCCCGTAATCGTATCGCATCCCCAGTTTCTATGACAATTAGCAGCGCCCCTACCGGACGAAAGAACAAACTAGGTGCTTGCATACAAAATTTGACGATGACGATACGATACGGAGCTGTCAAAATTCGCGCTTGGGCCTCTGTGCGTATGTGTTGTTTCGCTCAAACAACAAAACTTGCTTGGCGTTAAGAGTTCATAATACCACAGATAATACACCCTCTGATCTTAACGACGCTTTGCAACTAGGGTAGTGAAATCGGGCCTTTAAGATCTTGACTTCTAGCCTTATCTAGATTATATTAAAAATGTATTTTAAATAGACTCCAAAAGTTATTTTAGTCTCTTGAGAGTAATTGTTTTGATTCATAGCTTCAAGTTTCACAATGTTTATTTGTTACAAAAGCTTTCTCTTGAATCGATGTAGAGTTTAACTATTCTTAGAGTACTTTTGGAAATTGGAAGTTTGCATATTATTTCAGCTACCTAATGAAATTGTATGTACCTATTACTTAGTATAGTATAATAGTAGCCGATATAAATAACGGAATAGTTTATATTTCTATGACGCACATCGTTATTGGCTGGCATTCGGACCGCCCCCTTTACGTCGAGCGCTTATATCCCATCGTGTAAATCTATTCTTGTTTGTTCATATTTGTACATTTTGTATGGCAACATTGTTCCGTATTGATTAACTACAATAAAATCGTACTAATAATAATGGACTTTAAATAAAAGATTTACGTTAGGTTATGGAGTTTGGTTTTATTTTAACACCCTACTGAAGTAATTTGAGAAATGATGACTCACGTCTTATTTTTTTTGATGTTAAAAAGGTAATGATATGTGATCTTGCTATGGTTATTTTCTTCCTACAATATCCAAAAACCAAATTCATATGTCCTCATTTAGTTCTTATCATACTTTTCCTTTTCAATTTGATATTCAAGGTATAAACCAGTGCTAAATCACGGCCACCGAGAAGCGATACAAAATGTAAGATAGTCGATGAAAGGTTGTTGGCAACACCAACAAGAATAAATTATTTGTCCTTGTTACTGACTGTGACTCTCGCTCTCACGTGTAATGGCGGTTTTGTGTTTAACGTGTCTCCACGAATAAATTTAATTTCTTCCATATAAAACTGTTTTTATCTTGCTGCCCACGACGCAGCTGAAGATCCTGACAAAGGTCATTAATCTAATATATTTCTACCCATAACCCCCTTATCTACTATATAAAAATAAGTCGGGTTTTCCTTCCTGACGCTATAACTCCAGAACGCACGAACCGATTTCCACGGTTTTGCATTCGTTGGAAAGGTCTCGGGCTCCGTGAGGTTTATAGCAAAGAAAATTCAGGAAAAATTAAAAAAAAAAAATCGTTTTCTTTTAATCACAAAACGAAATGTTACATAAAACGAAGCTATCTGGTGGCGAAACGGAGTTCGCTGGGTTTGCTAGTCATATATAATTTTACTTCTCATTATAATAATTAGTTTCAAGTATTTCAATATGCATCTTGTTAAATTTCGATGTAGTTAATAGCGTCGAAATTTAATAAAAGTAGTATCTATTTGCTTTTTTTTTTCAAAAAAAAGGTCATTAATCAAACTATGCGTTAGTATTTTTTTTAAATATCTTTTCATTTATTATATGTATTTAAAATGTTATACTGTACCTTTATCATTTTTGGCTGTTGTGATAATATGAATGAGTTTTCTACATATTATAAAATGTAGATAACTATCATTCATATCATAAAAACAGAAAATCGCAACAGTTTGAAAAATAAAAATGATTTGTTATTACCATGAGTAGTATCTGAAAGACACGAAACGAAATAAAAATGTCATTATTTTTATTGTAAAATGTACGCCCGAAAGTTGGCGTACTCGGCGCCTCCGCGATGACGTAACATGCCTGAACGAGACCTCATGATATATACGAGATGAAAGAGATAGTTATTACACTGTCAGTCCCATCGTCTCGTATAAGGTGAATGAACTTTTCTATCCCTTCTCGTTGGCTGTACTTTAGAATAAATACTGTGATGGGCGTGGTTTGCGTTGTTCAGTTGCAAGTTTTTGGTGGGGTATCTGAATACCTTTTCTTAGGAAAACTTAGAACATACGCAATGATGACGTATCTCCGGACGGGGTTGAGGTAGTGGGGTGCGATCGGGGCGAGCGATGGTAATAATTAATGATATACGTCCACTTTCGCTCAAGACTTCAGAGAGGACGCCTGCGACTTCGGACCACCACTTCAAACCATTCGGTACGTTATTCTTTTATACATTTTTTTTGACGACCTCCGTGGCCGAGTGGTTTGTACGCCGGGTTTCATGGTGTCACCGACTCGGAGAGGTCCCGGGTTCGAATCCCGGTGGGGGCAGATGTTTGTGTGATGAATCCGAGCATTTGTACTCCAGTCATGGATATTTAATATGTATTTATATATAAATCTACTTATATATGTACAGTATATGTAGTCTATTCGTTACCGTAGTATTCCATAACACAAGGCTTACAGTGCTTACTTTGGGGCTAGGCTAATTGGTGTGAGTGTTAGAAGTATTTATTATTATTTATTATTTACAACACTGTAATTCTTATAGTAATATAAGTTATTTACGGGATTGTTACCATGTACCTTGTTTTTAGCGAGTTTCCGATATTTCGGCACTGTTGCAAGCGCCATGATCACGGAGTAACTGAAGTAATTGCGGGCAGGCTGTTATTGGCAGACATATCGGTCTACCCTCCGACGAAGTCTTTTATTGCGTTCGATACCCGTACCACTGTTCACATTCTCACTATTCACTCGAAACTGTTCTCGACACACAACACTTACAGTATCGGATCGCGACACGACACTTTTTTGATTATTTCCGGTTTTACACATACGAAGAGTCGAGTGTGGAATCCTGTGGGATTCCAGACACTCGACAATTTAAACCCGTCCTCACGATTGAAATTTTTATGTTTTGTTATTTCAATCGCTTCCCTGACCAATCTTGGTATGTAGTTATCTCGACAGAACGCCACTACAACTACGCCACGAGTGTCTGGAATCCTGTGGCTCGTATGTGTAAAACCGGAAATAATCAAAAAAGTGTCGTGTCGCGATCCGATACTGTAAGTGTTGTGTGTCGAGAACAGTTTCGAGTGAATAGTGAGAATGTGAAAAGTGGTACGGGTATCGAACGCAATAAAAGACTTCGTCGGAGGGTAGACCGATATGTCTGCCAATAACAGCCTACCCGCAATTACTTCAGTTACTCCGTGATCATGGCGCTTGCAACAGTGCCGAAATATCGGAAACTCGCTAAAAACAAGGTACATGGTAACAATCCCGTAAATAACTTATATTACTATAATGTTAGTGACCATGAAAGTTTAAAACAATATACTGTAATTGTTAGATTATAATTTTGTTAAATTACGAATAATCATTTATTTTCAATGCCCGAGTACCCACAATGAATGCAGATCATAATTATTAGGCCTACAATGCGTCTGACTGTGTAGTAGATCCGACATAATTGTGTGTTACTTTGTGTTGTGGCACACTAGAGACAAAAAGCGTGGACTGATTTTGATGGTTCATACGTCAATCGATTCGTCTTGATCATGGGAGTGCTACTAAAGATATGATAGTAATCGAAATTCAATATGGGGACAATTAGGCGCCATATTGTGAGAAAAACAAAATAAGTAATAATAATAATAAACTTTTATTTTCTCTCCACAATCTTATACATGCTTCATGAGTAACAGACTATAAAACTTAGGTCTAAGATTGTGAGAGACTGGTGACCAAACTAAGCTGACGCCTGTGTCTCAGTGCACCAGCCTCTCCCCGCTTAAGAAAGTGTTACATAAGCAAAAAAAAAGGAGAACAACGATAAAATCTAAAATCACATTTATATTATTTTGCATGATATGGTATATGATAGTGATAGTTGTGAGTATGGTTTTTATGTGCGTGTGTGAAGTGTGTGTGTGCGTGTTTATGTGCATGTGTGAGGTGCGTGTGTTAGTGTGCGTTAGGGATGTCGAAAGTTGAAAAAAATATCGATATATCGATACATCGATATTTTAAAAAATATCAATATCGGCTTCGATATATCGCGAAAAAAACATCGATATATCGATATATCGGACCAATTTTCCCAAAAATATCGCTCACGAAATATGACACGCGGAATACCTAATAATGGAACGAAAATTAACTCCCTAAAAATAGACCCTATTTTCGAATGATGACATAGACAATACTAAATACAGCACAGATCATAGATATGTTGAATATCATTATTCTGAGATCCAGTTACGATTTTTCCAGATACGAATTTAGTTAGATCGTGATATGCCGCTAATAATTAAAAAAATATCGTTTTTGATACGAATTTCGATATTGGTTATTTTGTATCGATGTATCGATATATCGAAACAAAATATATCGGCAAAAAATATCGATATATCGAACAAAAAATATCGATATATCGATACATCGATATATTTTCAACAAGCCTAGTGTGCGTGTGTGGAGGGGGCGTGTGGGACTGGTTCGTAATTCAAGAATTCATAAGGCTTTCTGTTTCTAAATAGTTTATTAGGTTTTGCAGGAAATTGGTGACTTTCTTCTTGCAGCAGAATCTGCTGAGTAAATGTATTGACAATTTTCGATTTAGTTTGTTGTAGAGCAGCTATACTCTAAGTGTGTTCCGCGGAACCCTAGGGTTCCGTGATACCTCTGTCGGGGTTCCGCAAGAATTTAGAAATAAAAAAATCAAAACACCTCTCTCTGGTCGCTCCGCGGCTGTGCGGACTCCGCGGCCGCGCGGAGACAAAACGCTATGAATGTTATTTATTTATTTATTTGTATTTGTATAAGCTTGTGTTACATTAGCTGGTACAATATCTCATAAGTTTGGTCTCAACAATTTTATACTTGTACAACGCGTTCGCTCTAAGTTTGCCGGTCTGTGGAATGCGCGTACCCTCCCCCACGTGACAACAAAACTTATAATGTGTCATAGTTTTACCCAAATATCTAACGTACACAATTTTTATTGTTACAATTAAATAAAAAATTTCGAACGTCATACACTCATACCTATCGCCAGCGGCAAACTTAAAACGAGCGGGTAGTATACTTGTAAGCGCTCAGTCTCTTTGATAAAAGCCGCCTCTGAATTAGACGCTATAGTTGTCAACTAGCGACTTTCGTCTCTAACTTCAAAGGATAAAGTCGATATTGTTTACAACGCTATTTTTAAATTTCTGTTTTTATTTTTGCTTTTTGTTTATCAAAGGTGCCGACTCGAGTATTTTCGAGAATATTTGAGATCGAGTCTAGGACTAAGTATAAAAGCGGCGATCGCGCGTTGGCGTCGTCAGTTGATGATTAGCGTTCGGAGCGATAAGTTACTACCTACTTACAAGCTCGCTAGCGAGAAACTGGTGTTCATTGTTTTACTGCCTGCTGTATTCTGTTGTCTCAGTTTTATACATTTCTTCCCTGTAGGTTCTAAATTTAGTCTCTTATACGCAGTAACGATTGTGCATTATTTAAACCCCACTATCCTGACTTGTAACATTATAAATAAAGAAGAATGGAACGTTGGCTTAAAGGTGTTAAACGTGTTCCAACAACATCTTCTAATGACGCTGAATGTTCAAAAGCAATGCGCGCGGAGAATTTAGCAATCACCGATCCAGAAGATGATGCCACGAGTGCCACGACGTCAAGCTCGACGGTTTCAAAGACGAAAAAAAGGAAGTATGATGAATCTTATATCAGTTTCGGATTTGTTGATTCCAACGGCTCACCTCTCTGCATGCTCTGTAGTAAACTGCTTCCTAATAGTTCCATGGCACCTGCCAAATTGCGTCGACATTTAGAAACCGTACACCCCGAGACTAAAGACAAGAATAAAGAATTTTTTGTTCGCAAAAAAGATCAGTTATTAGAAAGTCAAAAAAATATGATGCATGTAACACAAACTACCAACGAAAAGGCCACGGAGGCATCATACTTAGTTAGCTATCGCATTGCACAAGCAGGTGAAGCGCACACTATCGCTGAGAAATTAATAAAACCATGTGTATTAGACATAACAAAATGTATGCTTGATGAAAAATCTGCAAAGCATCTTTCTACTGTTCCGCTATCAAACGATACTGTTTCACG